GTCGAAAATAATTTAAATAGAAGGAGGGCAGATTTTCAACCTATAAATGTAAATATGGGCAGTTTCATATTTCCAAGAATAGAATATAATGATCTTATATTAATTGCATGTGGAACATACCAACTAAAACAAGCTTGTTTGTATTATGGGCAGCACATAAGAGGCGATGGTCCCTATACTATAGAATTATGTAGAAATATAGCCAGCAACCTATTGGTCGGCGACCCGATTCCTTTGGCCAACTGCAGATTATTGCATGGAAAAATACAAAGCAGGCATGTAAGTCGAAAAATATATTTTATGTATATATTATATGAAAATAATCACAATAGTAAGGAAGCTATAAAAGAATATTATTGTAATTGCATGGTTGGTTGAAGGACAGTGGGTTGCTGCGCTCATATAATGACTATTTTATGGTTTTTAAGTTGGGCAAGGTATCAGGAACACATTTCACCACCTGTCCAATTTCTTGAACACATATTAATAACATATGATGTCTCAGAATAAAAATAAATCATAAAAAAATGTTTTTTTATTTCACTTTAACCTGTATTTCCTCACATGACAAAAATCTCTTTTTAAACATTTTGATACAAAATTAAGTTCATATTCTCATTATTACTAGTTAGTGCTTTTAAACTAATTACAAAAAATATGATAAAATGTCTGTTCATGTCAGGCCAAAGTCCCCATACTGGGTGGACAATCTCCTTTGGTTAGTTTTTACAGTCCTGGTAATAGTTTTCCTGCTTTTGAAAAGACAAGTTCAATCGTTTATTGTACAGTATTCCAAAACCGTTGATAATTGCAGGCGATTTTAACGCCCATCATACTTTTTAGGGTTGTAGTCGCATAAATTCTGGGGGCCGAGCTATTATGGATTCCATGGATGACCATGACTTGATACTTTTAAATAATGGTCAACCAACAACTATAGGCTCTCATATTCGGAAACCAAACAGTCTAGATTTAACTATGGTGTCTTCTTCTTTATTTCTTTCTTGTGACTGGCAAGTTCATCAGGACCCTTTAGGCAGTTATCATCTGCCAACTAACACAAAATTTACTCTCGTAAGAGATCAACATGAGCCCTCTATTTCCTTGAACAACATTCCTTTTCACAGCAATCTGAAATTAGTAAATTGGGATAGGTATAAACAAATCTTCTATATCTAATATATAAAATTCTCGTGTCACAGTTTTCGTGCCCATACTCCTCCGAAACAACCTGACCGATTTTGATGAAATTTTTTGTGCTTATTCGGTAGCTATGAGAATCGGCCAACATCTATTTTTCATCCCCCTAAATGTTAGGGGTAGTCCACCCCTAAATTTTTTTTTTTATTTTTTAGACAAAATTTTTAATTACTATTTTTTTATGATACAACGTACAAAAATACATACAATCCTAAATTTTCACCCTTCTACGATCAACCCTTATTTTTTAATAGCTATTTTAGTAATTTAATCATTTTTCATCTCCGGTCGATAACTGATCAATCGTCATTTAATAAGTTATCCCCGCCAGATATCTACAGGTGTCACTTCTGACCCAGTAAACAGCACGGAGTAGGGATGAGAACGAAGCCGGTCTTCTGTTTCTCTCACACAATTAGACTTCTCTCACTCCCTACACAGTTGTCGGCCATCGTTATTGTTTGTGCATCAAGTGTAATAGTAACGTTGACAATTATTATTTTGCTAGCTCAGTGTAACTCTCATATTAACTATTAATCATTCCTAATCACTTCAAAACACGGAGATTTATGGCTTTAATAGGTAAACTCCAAAAATATAAATAAAAAAACGTAACAGATATTTCTTGATTATAGGGCGAAACGAAGTTCGCCGGGTCTTCTAGTATATTATATAAAAATGGATTGCTGTTCCTTAGTCTCACTAAAACTCGAGAACGGCTGAACGGATTTATCTTATCTTAGTCTTGAAATGTTCGTGGAGGTTCAGGGAAGGTATAAAAGCTGAAAAAAATTTATTCATTACTGGGAAAACCATAAAAACAGCCCTTTTCTATTTCCCATACAAACGATTTTTTTGACATTAGATTTGACAACTAACTAATATGTCAATCATTCTGTCGCACTTCAAAACACGGAGATTTATGGCTTTCAGGTAAACTCCAAAAATATAAATAAAAAAACGTAATAGATATTTCTTGATTATAGGGCGATACGAAGTTCGCCAGGTCTTCTAGTTGTTAATAAAATGTTAATGAACTTTAAAGTTGACAATAGTGATCTCCTTAACTCATACAGAAAGTTTTGTGCAATTATTCTATTGGCAATCAAATTCTCCGGGCCCAGCTTAAACCATAACACAACTGATAATAATAATAACCGTCCTAGAAAAAGGTGTCAAGTGCCTTGGTGGAATGATAAATGTTCAAAAGTAGTAGAAGACTGCAAGAACGCCTACATTAATTTCAAAACTAGTCTTAATAGTAAAAATTACATTAATTTCAAACGCGCACAAGCCTTTAAAAACGCACTTTAAAAGAAGAACGTTGTAAAAGTTGGTCTGAATTCTGCTCATCAATAAATCGTTGACATCTATAAATCGCATTTGGACTAAAATAAGAAAATTCAAAAAAAGCTTTCCTAGTTCTAACTTATTTTCTGACCTCAATTGGGTTCAAACATTTTTATATAAATACACACCGGATACTGTTTCACAACAGTTAAGTATAGATAATGTTCTTGGAGTAAATAGTGATAATTTGTGCTCTCCTTTTTAGGATTGGTGTTTTTGACTCTTCAACTTGTAGATATTGCAGTAATGCTGATGAAACCCTCAAACATATATTTTTTGATTGTCCACAGTTTAGTATTCAAAGGATGGTCCTTGTAGACAAACTTTAAAGTATTTTTAAAACTGCTGAAGATATCCCGCGCTCCCTTCAGCAAATACTAAGCATTTAAGAATGCTTCTTGCCAGTTTATGGCTTTATTGTTTCTACTATAAATAAAATCTAATTGTTATTTGTACATATGTATATCGATACCTCCTAAGTAACAAATTTAGGTATTTTGTATAAACGTACGGGATAAGTCGTGATCTTAACGTTTGTGTTAAAAAAAATTCAAAAAGAACGATAATTTCCGAAATAATTTCACGTATACTCAATCAATATCAATAAAAACAACATCAGTAAAAATCATACATTGTATTCTCATCTAACTAACATCGTACCAGTGTACGCGGGGCGTAAGGGAGGACGCGTTGATACAACCACATCGCAGCTCAGTATACGATGATGAGCATAGAGTGCTAAAATGTAGTCAAACAGGGCGCGAAAAATTTTAAATTTACTCAAAAATACCATTGGTACAATAAATAATCACACAGGAATAGATGATATGGTTCTAACAAGGGATGAAGAGGGTAAGTGGACAACGTACACGAATATAACTGGTAGTTATACCATTTCACTATTGAGCCCCGTCAGCGTATACCCAGTCATCTACATAAAATGTATTTTAAAAACAAAAATCAGCAAAATCATTATATGTCAAAGGAAGTGCTTACAATTTTTATTAAAAAAACATTTACTTTATTTCGAATTAATTTGATTTCATTAAAATATAAACGACTAGCTTTTGCCGCGACTTCGTCCGCGTGGAATAGTGACTTCCGGCAGATTTTTGGTTCTTCCCACATAGGTCCCGTTCTTGCGAGATTTTCGGAATGGTCGAGTTCCCGCAGAATTTTCAGTTTTTTTTTCGAGTTTTTTTTCGAGTTCCAAACTATATCTGTACAATTTTTAAAGTAAATTTTATTATTTTAAAGAACTTCTGCATATACTACATTTTTTGTTTTATTATCTTGTGGCAGAAGATCATATTGATTTTCGCCACAACCCGATCTTGAGAACGATCAGCACTCGATTCCCGTTGCCGGTTCGCCAAAGTTCGGATATTTTGTGAGGCTAAACGCTGCGAACGTTCAACGCTTGATTCCCTTGTACGGTTTTGTTCAGTAATTGCTCGTTGTGTAGCCAACCTGTGCATATTTTCAGCCTCAGTTTCATTGCTGCGCAAAACTCGCAGCCGCTTTGCAGTAGCAGTCTACCGAGAAAGCTGAGTTCTTTTTCTCGGCATTATAGTGATGAAGAAAAAACGTAGAAAATGAAAACTTAACTAAAGCGTATCTCGTAATAAAAAAAAAGAAACGTAAGATTAAGAAGATTCATAATTAGGAACCTAATTACTTTTATTTTCAACGATTATGTCAAAAGAACAACCGTAAAATGAAAATAAGGTAAACTAACCTTATGCTTAAACTTAACCCTAATCTAATGAGAATAGTTAAGTAGGCGACACCTATTTAGGTACCTACAGGTATTATGTACCAAAAAAAAATATATATTAGAAACTAAAAACTATTTTTAAAACAAACAATACTATAAGTATAAATATTTTTAAATTCCAATATTTCCATACATAACCTCGAAAAATACAAGAAGCTGTACCTAGAAGTCAAAATATGTATCTAAAATCACCAATTGCACAATATAACCACAAAAAAAATTAAGTCTAAATAATATTCTAATAAACTTTCATCTTTTATATTTAAAAGGATAAATAAACTCTGTTTTCTATTATATAATCGTTTATTATCATTAAAAATTCATAAAGAAGTTCAAGCTTATTATATATAATATTACACTAATCTCATAATTTTAGGATGGATGTGTGTTGGAAACTATGAGAGTGATGAGTTATTTTTATCACTTACACTAATCTCCACTAAGAATTAAACAGATCATTATATGTATATCACTGACTAACCAAAATAAGTTTGATTTCTTTTATTTTCATCATCTTCACTTATGAAACTAACATACATCCATTATGACTACACCAAATCACATAAATGACAACTGATGATAGTTTAAGGGTGATTAAATCTTGAATGATAAAAAATGATAAAACTAGTCAAATCTCATGTATGTAGAGAGGGTTATAGTATTTTGTATGTGTTTATATTTTTTTCCGCCTTTTATCTGGAGTGTTGGTGAAGAGTGCCTCGTCCACGCGCATCAGTCGGTTGACCGCACGGGTCAATGATGCATCTGTTACCAAAACATCATTTAAAAATTCTTATCAAGTACGTTCGACCCTTGATATATATATAATCATCCAAAAATAACTAAAAAAGCTGAATTCATGTTAGTATGAAAAATCTATATTTTAATTAGAATAAAATGAGCTAAAAGACATGTCCATTTAATATATTCCATGTTATTATTATAGTTTTAAATTCATCAATTATATCATGTTAGGAGGTAGTTTGTTTTTAAACATTAAACATAAAGCATGCAAGTACAGTGCATAACTAATACTAAAATGGGTCAACATGCTGTCACTAAGTGTTGCCAAAACAACTGAACGGTAAGCAGATTGTATCAATTTAATCACCCAATAAAATCAAAGAGATATGAAAAGAAACAAATAATTTTGAAATAAAAAATCCATTTAATGTGATAAAAATTCAACAGTCCACTTACATAAAACACATGAAAACCTGCACGAACTATGATATCAATGAAACATCCATTATTATTTAATAAATTATTGAGCATAATAGAACACTTGATATATACTTCATGCAGTATTCATATAAAATTGTACTTATATAAACTTAATTTACCCATGATATTGTGATATCTAAATGATTACATGCCACTCATAACATAGTTGGTATCAATCATGCTAATGTTACACCAACTATCAATGGACTGCTTATGTTATGAAGAAATCCATGATCGGAAGAATTACATCACACACAATATCCATTATATACTTAATATATAATATATCATCATTTATATGTATATTTATTATGTATGATGCAATCTTCTATACCAATACTGAATGTGACTCGGTTATAACATTTACTAATATTGTTAAGGCATTCATTGGCCCCGATAATTAAATAAAAGCACAAATACATCGTCTAAGACTACAATAGTCCAAAATAAGTACCATATTTCAGTTGAAATATCCCACATAAAGGACTTTTTTTTTATATCCCTAAAAAGAATACAAACTTGACAAAATTCTATCCATAATAAATTATATTATTGAAATAATAATCTTATATAAACATAAGAAATTGTTCATCAAATTAAAACTGACAATATTATCTACTTATTGTATATATAAATTTGTTTAAATTCAATTCTATTCAACAAATATCCTGTACCAGAATCATCTACCTATTATAATTGCAATGCCCTCACCTATTTCGTTAAGTATATAAAAATAAAACTGTGATCTCCATACATTAATTTGTATGAATCAAAGATTGTATGGAAGAGATAAAAATCAATTTTGTATCATTAGTCTTATCGATTAATACACCTGTCTGTCTGTCTGTTGCAATCAATCCCAGAAATGGGACCGATTTTGATATAGCTAAAGCTTATTTCTCCTCGTTATAGGCTATTTTTAAGTTTATTACTCATATATGTGATGGTATGAGTATTGTATGTATTTTAATATGTTAAGTGGCGGGTAACAGCTAGTATAATGTGAATGTTACCAACCGGGCGTTGTGTTAGCAAGACGTCTCATTCTTCTTGTGTTTCTATCCTGATCCCTTATCTTTTTCTCCATTTCAGCGTTAGTTAAAGTTTCCAAGTATGGAGCCCATTGTTCAGCATCTGATGGCTGGCGGTATGGTGTCTGGGGAATTATATATATCAATGTTAATACTATTTATATATTTCTATCAAGAAATGTGGCTAAATATGTGGAGATATATGTATACTATGATAATTATGTGGAAATAGTCAGAGGTGACCTAATGGTTAGAAGGCCCGCCTCTTGTTGCCGAGGGCGCGGGTTCGATCCTGGCCCGGGCAGCTATAGCTTGGAAATTGCCAGGTAGAAGAAGAAGACTATGATAGAAATGTGGAGTATACTTTAAAATTCATGCTGAATACAGGCTTAGCTTTGTAGCTTAAAATTTAAACGTCTTGTGTCTTGAGCAATAATTTGAAATACAAATATGTATGTATATCAATGAATTTTAATTTTTTTTATTGAATATATATGATGCAAAGCTACCTCAGGTAAATAGATATCTGTTTATTACCTTGTGTCAGAATTAATCATGGTAAATTAACCATGTTATTAGTAAATATCAAGTATATATTAGTTTCAAAATATGAATAGCATTATATACCTCAACGACAGGTAATGGAGCCTCACTGAAGGCATATGTTCTTTGATGCCAACTAAGTTGTCCCCGAACACTATAAGCAATGCCTGTTACAAACTCCCCTCCCAGACCGAGCTCTGCACAGAGCTTCATAGCAAATTGCTCAGGATTATTCTCCTTCTCAGCCATATCCCATTCCACCTACATCAGAAACATAATAAGTTATTATCAGACAGTTCTTCACCATCTAATAGTACATATTTTTGAATATGCCTCCCAGATACACATGTATTATGTATGGCTTAAAAATTATCAAATCATGATCCAAAATCAATCGAACTTTTCGTTTATTAACAAGTTAATATCAGACCGTTAATGAGGTCTAAGACTTCAGCATTTATTTATTTGGATGAAACTAATATACTGGATACTCGTGATCTCGTTTGATGAAAAGTAACCGAAAGATCGGGAGTATGTAGTTTTAAAATAATAAAAAACGCGTAGTATATCCGAAGAATATTAGTTTCATTTATCAGATAATTCTTCGCCACTCATTAACGTTTGTTATATATTCCTCCAAGAGATAATTATATTATGCCATACAGTTTAGAAATTGATTTCATATACCAAAAAAGCACAATCCAATAAATTGTGCTATACTATTATATATCCTGATTTTTTTCCCATAACTACAAAGAGTAATTGGGTTTAAATGAAAATTTAAAGAAGAAGAATTAATGCTTCATTAAATGTTTTTCCTACTTTAAAGGTAAACAATACACATTATCTGATTAATTTAAAATTAAATAACTGGAATTAAAGAACCAAATTAGATTTCATCTCTCAAGTCATTTTGAGAGTTTATTTTTGTATATCAGACATCAAACTAACAAAGTCCCATACTAAGAAAGGATGCAGTAATAGCGAGCAAAGAATTCATCTGTATCAAATGTGTGACAGATCATTGCTATATTGAAGATTGCTTATTAAGATTTTTCATCCCTACTCTCTTGCATGGCAAAATTTTTTAATATTTTTAATTTGACAAGCATTTCCTTTACAATTTTACCATCCAATTATAAAACAATATTATTTTACATTTCTTATAAGTACATTATTCTTGCCACACATTAATATGGTTAAAACAGACCTGATCAACCAGGGAAGTGTTCCCAACATGTATATTGAGTTTGATGATAACCCTCTGGTCTAACTCCTCGAGTATTGGAGGTGGCTCGCTCGGGAATGCCTCAATCTGTTGTCTGATTGATGATGCTATGGCCGGGATGAATGTACTGGTGTTCAATTCCAAATCATCACATAGAACCTCAGCAAACTGCTCCGGTGTTATTATAGACTCTGACGGCATAAGAAACAACAATATTAGAGAATCATCCATTATCTTTCTTTTCCCTTCTAGAACTTTCTTGATTTGACCACAATAAATTGACAATTAGCCGTTTGATAGTTTTTCAATAATCTCTCTAATAAATGTTTCAAAGTTATCAAGAATAAATCATGTTTAATAACTTGTGGCTATGTTATGATCGTAGGTCAAAGAGTGCAGTGTTATCTTAATAATCTGTACAAGCATCTGATTTCCTTGTAACTTTACATATATTTACTTGGATGATCAATTATGCTTTTAAACAAAAAATAATGTCTGAATTTAGTTAAAATCAAATTTATATGTAAAAAGATAAATAAAAAATACTGGAATATACAACTTGCACATAGTTATTGATTAACATGTCACCTAGAACAAACTTCACAATGTCGCTGTCGGTGCGCGCATTTAAAAAATTCACTCATCATTTTTCTCCATTATACGAAAAGAAGTATAATTTCAAAAAGTTCTAGAAACAATATCCTACTAATATTAAAATTGCGAAAGTTTGTGTGTGCGTGTGCATGTTTATTACTTCTTCACGCTCAAACAGCTGAACCGATTTTCATAAAATTTTGTATATAGGAAGCTGATGTCCAGGAATAACACATAGGCTACTTTACATCCAGGAAATCCGCGTGTAACACCGCGGAGCGCAGCTAGTAATATAATAATATTAACCATTTTTATTCCATGTGAATGTATCTCTAAGCTTCTGGCCTTCAATTTCCATGTCCAACCTGATGGGTACGAGCACTTGCTTCTGAGAAGCATTCTCTAGCATGGCCGTCATGTCGGTGTCATCGAAGCAGAGAGGGAACGTCCTAACCTGATGAAGTAATGTATATTCAATAATAAAGTCATTAAATCTACCTATGTGATATCAGTTTTGATATTATAGAAACGTATAACAAAAATATGTTTTAAACTTGTCTGCTCGTGATCATTTTGCTGCAAAGTAACCAAAACATTGGTTAAACTACATACTGTAGTTAAAAATAATTATAAACAAGTGTAAATCTGAAAAATATTATATTTATTTCAAATCTCTTAAGTCAAAAATTATTATATGGTAAATATTTAGCATTGAAACTACAACAAAAATTCAAAAGCATTAAGAAATTATGTTGTTTCAATATTCATCTTGATTGCTATAATCATTTATTTATATATAAATGGATTAATATTGGTAGAATAATGCAGTCCCAAAGAGGATTGATGTCACGCAGGCGGCCGGTTGAAAAAACAATTAGCCAAAACTATTCACAACATGTAAGGGAAAATTGCCAGATAGAAGAAGATTAATATTGGTAGATGACCTTTTTATTATGTACTCTTGTTCTGCTAATGGGTGTAGCTTGAGGTACAGCATCCAAATGTGAGGAGTTCGGCATGGCCGGCATCCACGGAGGGTTGTGAGGCTTCTTCGCCTTACCCTCCCTCGGTGTAGCCAACTCTTGACTAACTGACACAGCTTTGTACCTGTATTAAGAGATTTAATTATTAAGAAACATGATAAACTAATGTTTATTTGTGTTAGCAGCAAAACATCATATAATTTAAATAAAACTGAGCTTTTAAGATTATATCCTATTGGTAATGGTAGTATAGAAAATTAAGAAAAGGCTGGCGGTAGATGGCCAGAAATGACTAACTAACAGATGTCCATCTTATTTTACTCGTGATCATGGTTGCTAGAGAACCCAATCATTGGAAGTGTATGGATATAACATTATAAACAACTTAGTTTCATATTTTAGATACATACTTAGTTTTAGATGTATACATGCAAAAATCTTGGATATCATTATGATCACACAATATTACTCATACAAAAAGTTATTAACTGTTAAGTTATGTTTTGAATATCGTCTTACTTTTCGTCATTGCCATCAATGATGTCTTCAACTTCCGAGGCTTTCAACAGCGAGACAGAGCTCGATAGCACATGTGGACCCAGACCGTTGTCAACTAAACGTTTCCTCTCTTCATTAGTGAGGGTCCGTCTGGCCATGCCAGGGTACTTCTTGTACAACGACCCGCGGAACAGCCGCAGATAATTACCGACCTGAATATAACAGTTTAAAAGTATAAGCATTGGTAAACGAAACAAGTAGTTGAAATGGAATGCAAATAAAGGTATTTGTGTTAAGATTACAATTGTTATTTTAATACGTTTTAAGTTATTAAATTATGATTATTAAATACTGTTACCTCCGATCCAACACAGTAGAATTCACCGCCTTCTTCAATTTGGAAACTGATCGGCTTGTCGCCGTAAGTCCGGAGAGCCATTTTGAAGTCTTTACTTTCAATTTAAACCAAAAGTATCTAAAATCCTATATGGCGGTTGAAAACCAAAAAAGCAAGAAATATAAAACGCTTAAATTCAGTACATAGAATCACATCACAATCGTAAAATATAATCAATTCCAAAATCATCAACTTGAGGCGTCCATTTGAGCAAAACGTCACTTAAAGTTAAACACAAAGAATAGCAACATTCATGTTAGTGTTACTATTTTAAAACTTCTTTCTAAAATTTATTTGTTTGTACTTCTCTAACATAGTTAAAACATATATTTATATTTCAAGACATTAAAATTAAAATTATTCAATTTGACAGTTAAAGAAGTCATACAATTACTACATTATTCATTAATTACGCTTCTTTCAATAAAAATTCTATGAGTTGGTAAATTGTTAAATTTCATTAAATTTTCGAGTACAATTTCCTCATTTTTTGAATGTAGATAATTATGTAATATGAATATATAATTTAGAGATTAAAGAAATCATAATAGCTCTCAAAGTTCATTCACGACCTGTTGTCATTTCTAAATCCTAGCGTAAAGCATATCGAGTACGGCGTAAGGGGAAATCGTTTAGTTTGTATTTGTCACTCATAGGGGTCGGTGCTGCCGCCTGCCGTAGTTGCTTCATTCAAAGGCAAGTGCGAAAAAATTATAATGTCTGCAAATAGGGGAAACTTTAAAAACCCCTTTTCTCGACCATGGATGACAGAAACAGGGGCTGCAGCGGCGGCAGGTGGCTCGGGATCGGTCGGACTCAAAGGTGTTGTTGCTGGAGGCATAACTGGTGGCATTGAAATTTGTATAACATTCCCAACCGAATATGTGAAAACACAACTCCAACTGGACGAAAAAGGTTAGTTGGGACTATGATAACACTACTCATAAAACAATATTATACTGTCCAATTTAAAAATTAAAAAATATGCAGTTGTTACGCGCAGCTTTGAATTCTTAGAGGAAAATTTAGACGAGCTTGTTTTTTCTTCTAAAAATACGATTTATCAGTTGCGTCACTAAAACATTCGATGGTATATAAATTTAGCGGTATCCTAAGTGATGATATAAATTATTGTTAAGTGTACGATATATTTTCCAATTAGAATCATGTTGCACGGGTGTCGTTTTCCCTATACATGATGTTTTTATTATCGCGTTTAGTTTTTTTGTTATTTGAACTTTGTACACACTTATACTATGTTACGTAATATTTGTATTTCTTTTAATAGAATTTCATCTGCGAGAAAAGTTTGTAATGTATTATATTATATATATGCATGCAGTCGCGAAGTTAAATTTACGTGTTTTATGCTTCGTTATGAATCCTTGAAGAATTGATTGCTTCCATGAAGTTATTTCTCATATTTCCTTATGAGTTTATTTTATTTGCAAGTCATAGCGCGAAGTATATGTTAAAAATTAATTTTATAAACATGCTGGAAATTAAATTAGTACCTAATTAAAAAATAAAACAAAGTTTAAATTAATATTGTTTTTTTTTTTTAAGAAACACATTCTATTTTTAAAATCTAAGAATTTTACAATCATTCATAAAGATATGTACACTGAAATTGTGAAACTACCAATTAGGCTAATTATATCTAATTGTTTAAACAATAAACAACTTTATTGTACTGGCATAAGGTACACAATTATATTGTAAGAAATAAATATTATTATTCAACAAGCTAATGGTTTACTATCTAGGGCAGAATAAATTTACCAAACAAAAATAACCGATCAGATTAAATGGAAAATTTTCCAATTCTGAAACTTTAATGTACAAATACAAGAATTATAAACAATATTTCACACAAAGTCTTGAAGTAAAAACATGTATTCATTGACTTGATACAATTGATCAATTCAGCTAATTTCTCAACCAATCATCTGGAAGAGTTGAAGTTTTTTTTTAAGACCTAATAAAAATATCAGAACAAACCAAAAAGGTTTAATATAACTTTTTTTGTAATCATTATAAATTATCTATGGCATAATAGATTTTTTTATAGATTAAAATGATAAGATGTAAGTATAACTTATAAGGAATGTACCATTATATAAAATCTCAAGATTCAGTGGTTTCTTATCTCATAATAAAAAATATGCTTTCACATAATAATATTAGAAAATAAATTATATAAATTTAGTATTACACAACTCGGTAATATTGTTCCCAACTCCGGTATGGAGAAAATTTTGTATATAAATCCAGAAAAGGTACATAAATAAATTCTTATGTATATAATAATTAGTATATATTATTAGAATATATGTGCTAAATATCCAGTACAGTAAAGTTAAATGAAAATCTAAATTAAATATATTTTCCATATAATTTGGAACACTTATCAAATAACTTCAATACATATTTGATAGCAGTTATCAAGTTTTTTATCAAATGAATCGAAATGTTAGTATGATACAAAGTATGTACTTATTTCACATATATGAAAAAGTAAAACTACTGCTTTGAGCAGCAGTGGGCTCTGGTGGGCTAAAAAAAAAGTAAAACATAAATAATTATTGATACAAAATTTCTTACTACAAATATTGGTAAAATTTTATCCTCTCAATTTTATTTGCAAAAATAACTTGAAATTTTCCAAAGAAATTTTATAATTATGCGTGATTTTGACAGACGCCATTATTGCGTGCTCTGACGTCATTTCATTCACCAATAATTAACCAGCTTTTTGTTATTTATAGTTATAATAGATACCGTTTTATATTTATTATCTATTTATGCACATTTTTTGACTCAATTTATCTTGTCAAAATATTATATCGTTAGGTTTTTTAATCTAAGATGAATAAAAAACAAGTATATATTTGGAATGATGATAAGAAGCTCATTTTAAAGGGATCTCTATTAAGTGTTTACTGTCTTGGTCTTGTCACTTTGTTTACTTGAGTTTTTTAGTAAACAGTCACGTGCTTTAATTATTTTAAAGTTATTATGACTAACAGAGCAATCGAAGATTAAATTAAAAGAATAAAAGTAAAAGGAGATAATTAATAAAAAATCTCAAAAGTAAAACACATTAAATAAATAATAAAGTATCTGAATCAAAACCTTGCCGAAACGATATTTTTCATAGAGTATCTAGGTAATTTTAATTTATTACCTCTGTCATGAACAAAGAACAATTAAATTTATTCTTCCAATAATTACGCTCAATACAATCGTTTTTAATAATCATTATTATTTTATTTCTTCAGGAGGCACTAAAAAATACACTGGAATATGGGACTGTGTAAATAAGACCGTCAAAGGCCATGGCTTTTTCGGTTTATACAGAGGACTGAGCGTGCTCTTGTACGGGTCGATACCAAAATCAGCTGTGAGGTGAGAATTCTATACAGCCAATATAACATATTGGCTGAATGTATTAAATCTTTGATTTTATAATTATTAATTTAAAAAAATTAAAAGTCAATAATATGTCATTAGGATTTTTCAGTTTTTGACATTGTTTTTAAATGTTGTTGTTAGGCGGGAACCGATATGTTTAATATTTATGAATTCAAGCCAGTAGTATTTGTCAAAACGAAACATTAGAAATGCGTTAACAATATCGGGTGTCGTCTGAGGTATTAAGTACGTTGCCCTCTGCTTTAATAAAGTTTAAAGGATCACTTCCTTTGATATATCGTAACATTTGTTACGTTTACGACATCTTAGTATGAGATATACACATAATTACATTACTGTTCCTAGTTTTATATTTTAACTATAATCTAGAGTCAGCTATCTAACTAGAACGTTCAGGTCATACACAAAATAGGTGAGGTTTTGTATAGATAAGCGAAGTTCAAACAGAATTGATTAACCAATGACATCCCGGTCACAACATGAAATGTACCAAATGAAAGGGTTACGTAATCCCGTGCCGTTATAATGTAATATTATTGAATTATTACATCGTATTTGTAATAAAAAAATACTGTTTTATTGATTAATGCGCTGAGAACGTATATCAAAACTTTGTTGACAATTTTTATTTGATTATTTCGGTTCATCTCTAACTTGTTGAACCGATTTTCTGAACTTCGTGACACTTGATGTAATGATATATATAAAAAATAATTCTTAGGGACCACTAACTATTTAATATATTAAACTTATTAGCTATATATTGTATTTCCTACTTGCATTTATATATATCATGCAAAGACAAAGACTGGAGATTTATATTGTTAATTTAGTTTTAGGCTGCAACAGTATATTTCCACATAACTTCTAATAATTACTCTTATATATATATATATAAATATATCAATAACCAACCAGAACTGCCTACAAAACTAAGTCAATAGAATATTAAGTATAATTCTGTTACAGATTTGGTGTATTCGAGCAGGCTAAGCTATATATGGTGAATGAGAATGGCACTTTGTCTAACACCGGCAAACTGGCTTGCGGTCTGGCCGCTGGAGTGGCAGAGGCTGTGTTCGCAGTTACACCCATGGAGACTGTTAAGGTCAAGTTTATTAACGACATGAGAATGGAGAAGCCGAGATTTAAGGGTTTCTTCCACGGAGTCAGGATGATTGTGAGGGAAGAAGGTTAGATTCACTGAGAACTTATATGTTCTTTACTTGCTTGATATGGATAACTAAATAAATGGCTAGTATGTATAAGCGTTAATATGCAAAATGACAATTTTTCAGTAGAATGTTTTAAGTTTGATTTCAATGTATCTTGTACATGCGACTAATGCTTTTGAGACTTTGCATAGCAACTATGATATACATCTATGTCATTTAGACTGGATTAACTTTTTTGTAAACCTACTAGTTTCTTAAATAATGTATATAAGCCCTTATACATTAAAAAGTGTGTTACGACCTTTGCAACATGCAATAAAAATCAAGTCTTTGGATCAACAAATATTTTTTTTAAATGGATATTGTAGAATACAGTATTATGAATTGTTTAAGGCAAAACAATGAAAATGGCTAAATAGGACCCATTGCAACATATTTATTATTTATCCTTTTGATTTTCCTAGATATTATTATCTACTACGTAATATGTTATTATTTTAGGTATTGGTGGTGTTTACAAGGGTGTGACAGCGACTATCATGAAACAGGGCAGTAATCAAGCTATAAGGTTCTTTGTGATGGAATCTCTCCGTGACTGGTACAAGGGAGGCGATAGGGACAAGCATGTACCCAAATATATTGTTGGGCTGTTTGGTGGTGTGGCCGGTAAGGAGATATACACACATACACACATATATATATATACACACACACGTAGACTGTGGTGGCCTAGTAGTTAAAAGGCCCGCCACATGCACAAGGGCGCGGGCTCGATCCTGGCTTGGGCAAGTACCAATGTGATTTTTCCGAGTCATATGTACTTTATAAGAATATTTAGACATCACTGATTAATGCATTCCCAAAGAGGGTTGATGTCAGGCAGGCGACCGGTCGTAAAAAAAAATTGACAAAACTATTTACAACATGTTCTGTGGATGAGAAGAACATGTTGTGCCGATCTTAAATAAAGTGGGATCGGGGCAGGAAAAAAAAATACACACACACATACACATAAACTGTGCAGAGGTGACTGTTAGCTCAATAGACAAGTTTAATGTATGTTTGTATGCACAGAGATAATACCTAATCTGAAATCAAACATCACCTGAATCTTATCTTTTCCACTATTTCTTCCACATCATGACATGACCTAAAATCTTTAAACACATGCCTGTTTTTTAATTAAAGTTTAAATATCCTTTTTTTCGTACATTTTCTATCCTACGTTAATAACTATAAAATTCATCTATAGAAAGTGAACAATAATCTGTTATAATAATATCTGTCGTTATATGTTTTTTTTAACTCTTGTTATGTAAATTTCGTTATATAATTATTAAATTCCCAACTGGTGTTTAACAATTGTCTTCTTAATCATCAAGTAGAAGTATTTATTAGAACACTAATAATATATATTTTTTCTATGGCCAAAACAATATGAGCTATTTGGACTCTAGTTTCACACAGCCTTAACTTAAAAATTAATTTATTTTATGCCCACGGCTATCTCATGTCCTTCAGCATATGCATTGCCTTTGGCATGTATAAATATTACAATTATGTTTATGCTACCATAACTTTTGCAACTTTTAGTCTGTCATGTGTTTTTATACACAATACAACCATTATGCTATAATCTTGGGATTTATAACAAATTTTGGTATAAATTACAGCCTATATCTTATCCTGATGTGTAAGCTAGATTAATGCAAAGTTTCATTGAAATCCGTTCAGTAATTATCCTATGAAAGAGCCAGAAAAATTCTTAAATCCTATATACATATAAATTGATACATAATATATTTTATAGGAGCGGCATCAGTATTCGGGAATACACCGATAGATGTCGTTAAAACCAGAATGCAAGGATTAGAAGCCAGCAAATACAAGAGCACATGGGATTGCTTCATTAAAATCTGGAAACATGAAGGGCCGCTTGCTTTCTACAAGGGAACGGTGCCAAGATTAAGTAGAGTTGTATTCGATGTCGCCATAACATTCACAATCTATGACAGCATTATGGACGTATTTAATTTCATATGGAAGTAATTATATACAAACTTCTTCAAATGAATTCGTTGTAACTGAGGCGATAACACTTCAACGATTACTGTGAATTCATTTTTTTATATATATATAATATATATGATTTTATTATATAACTAGTAGTTATGTACAAATGTGTGTAGCACATACATATTTTTATACAAATATATAATTTTTGCTGTGCATATATATTATTTTGCAGGGTTCGTCGTATTGTGATTATAATTTTTTTGTGAGCATTTAATTAAATATGATTTAATTGAAATGATGTTAATGGATCATGATCCATATTTTTTTTATGCTTATATTGTATAATTTATTACAAGTTGACTCGGAAATATGTAAAGGATAATTTATGACTTTGTTTTTATTTTATTTTTGTTAGAATTTATTTATTTTATGATAATAATTATGTATTTATACTGCTTTTACTCTTGCATTTCACTCTGTAAGCCGTTTGGGATCTTTACCATGAGATTTTGAATCATATTAGTGGTGCCAAATGTAACTTAGAGGCCTAAACTGACTAAGTTATTAGAAAATTATGAATATTTCCTCTAATACACAATTAATTCAAGCACTTAATGCTACAGTTGATAGTCTGCATTTATGAGATCCTAATCGGACATTCCGAATACATTTCTTGATAACTATATTCTTGTAAACTTTTATTTTGCGATTATGCTTTATTTATTAAACGTTCGGTTGAATTTTTATTACGTTTCGTTTTATTTTACATATTAATGAAAGTTTTTTTATATTTAAGTTATATTTTATTTATGATTTATATACATTTATATACTTCGGTGCTAATCAATAGCATGGTAACAGATCCTTTTGTATAACAATTTACATAATAACATATATAAATAAATAGTGCTATATAACTTTTTGGATAAAATCTTTAACATTTACATCAGAATGGGTAATAAGTATAGGATTTAAATTGCAATGAAGGCACACAACGATGATCCAAATTGTAACTATCTACGATTGACATTTCATCCTGGTTCAGCTCGAAATCAAAAATGTTCAAATTCTCCTCTATCCTGGATTTTGTAAAGGATTTCGGTATAACCGGGATACCACGTTGAATCTACAAAATAAATATACATAATATTACATATTTGTATCCATATAAGTATATACTTAGTCTTAGGGAATATTAAAAACTGATTCCGATGCCAATTTATTACATAAAACTAAACTTAAATTCCTTACCAAATATCTTAAAACAACTTGAGCTTTAGTTTTTCCATACTTTTCCGCTATCTTTTCTAATTTTGGATCCGTTTTGATGACATCTTTGCCAACAAACTCCGGCCTAGCTCCGGACAAGAGCCCCAATGGTGTGTAAGCAATCGGTATCACAGATAGCTTTTTACAGAAATCTACTAACTTATGTTGGGTCAATGTCGGGTTTATCTGTAAGTATAAACATAATTTGTATATAATATACATACTCAATCTACCCCAATCATGGTTGTCAATCATATATACATTTTAACTCCTACCTCGACTTGATTAACCGTTGGTTTGATATTAGCATGGTTGTACAACCTTTCAAGTTGTTCTTCATTAAAATTTGACACCCCTATTGACTTGGCAAGACCAAGATGTACAGCTTCCTCCATACTTTTCCAGGTATTTAGATAATCTATAGCTGTATCCTCTCCATTTTCCTTTAAGTATATTTAAATAATTAATTAAATTAAAAAAATATATACAAACATATTATAAGCATATTTCAAATTCCTAAATGTATCTATAAAAAGTTTTTGAAACTTATTTACCATGCTATAGCATGGTACACTGTTAAGTTAGATGCAAAGGACTTACTCATAAAATAGTCCTTTTTTCTTTTTATGAAAAGCTAATAGGTTTTATATACATACACTTATAGATACAGGCCAATGTATTAAGTATAAATCAATATAATCAAGTTTTAATTTCCTTAATGATTCCTTCAATGCTGGTATCACAGCCTCTTCAGAATGACTGTTGTTCCAAATCTAGAAATTAAGTTAAAAAAACATTAATTATTTGTGGAAAATATATATAACTTGTAATTTTATAATACAATATAAATAAGATATTTAAACTTTACTGACATCATATCATAATTATTCCATTGTGTCTGAACAATTAAATTCCAGCTAAAATTTTTTATTGTATTAGGATATTAAAAAATTAATCAAAAGTAACATTGATTATTATCTACATAAAAATAAAATTTACCTTTGTAGTTACAAATAAATCTTCCCTTTTAACATATCCTTGTTTAATTTTATTGGCTATTACCTCCCCTAAAAACTCTTCATTTTTATAAAATGAAGCAGTATCTATATGTCTATAACCACACTCTATTCCCCATTCCACAGCTTGTTTAACAGCTTCCGGATCAAATTGACGCTGAAAAGAAAAAATAGATTTATCTCTATATAGTAATTTTATTTAATAAAATTAGAATTTTTTTAACTTACCGTGTAAGTCCCAAGACCCACCATCGGCATCTCTTTCCCATTGTTAAGCGTGGCATTAGTTACTTTAGGCGACATAATTGTTAATTCTATGACCTTCCAAGGTTATAAAACTATCAAGTAAAATTTATACCTAATGACTTCAATAATTTAAAGCAAACTTGAAGTTAACGCTTCAACATTGACGTTATATAGTAACAAAATGTTTGTTTCGACGATAATTATTGATAAAATACTTGTTCTTAATTCATGAGTTAATATTCAAATTAATTGTGAAACCCCGATTATCATATCACGCTACTGTCATCATTATCGTTTATTATAAAGTATGTAATGTGAGTTCAAGTATTAGCTTTCAATAAATCGAATTCATCTACAATGATTGTCTGTCACTTCGCAATGACTTTGAAAAATATCAATCCTAGAAATGTTAATTTGCTGATGATTTCATAAAAAATATATTGTTTTTAAAATGTTTTACATTTATATTATCTGAGTTTATTACATGTAAAGTTTTTCAAGGACATTTGAAAAGTATGTTTTTTATCGTTAATTTTAAATATAGGTATACAATTGTATTGTAGGTGAACCCTATGGCCTATACGGTAAAAATGTCGACTTGTAGTCTTATTATAAAATGTATTGCATTAGTTTGTTACCTGTGCAAATCGGTATTGCTATAGTTAGTAAGACACGATTATTCGAATTAAGATAACATTTATTTTAAGTTTATACGCAAGTTTATGTCTTATGTCACGATATAATATATCGACAAAACGTGAGCCGATAACCTGAAAGAAAATTTATTTCTTTAATTTATCTACGTGTTTAACTACATAAGCGAATAAAAACGAAATACTCCATTCTTTACTAAAGACAAGGCAAGAAACACATTATAAATACAATTTTTATGCCAGTAGTTGTTCTTCCATAAAAACAATAGTGCAGTTCTTGACGGAAGAAGTGAAATTTCGTAATAGAAGTAGTAGAAATTGATTTTTAAGGAATTTTTAGTGTTTCTTTAAGACAAAATTTATTAACATCATTTTTAAGTCACAATTGACTGCCCGCATACGTTTGAGCGCCACGAAACCCCTCGTTCTCTGCTTTCTATTCCCCCCACTAAGGACCGTAAGAGTTTAACGCAACCTTGTCGTAAGTTACATAAGAAGTTTCACTTCAAAAAAAAAATCCAAACGAACCACGATCGAATATAAGATTTTAAACCTTTTCTAATTTGTGTAGTTTTATCAAAACTCGTTAAGGAGAGAGTTATACCAAATTAGTCCAAAAAGATTTGTTACATTTTTCATATATTTTGGAAAATCCGATTTAAAACTTTGTGATCCATCTTCAGGGTCTAAGTTTAAAGTCTAGAGTGGGAATTACATTATAAAAAGAAAAATATACATATCCATGGCAGTTACTTTTGTATCTTTTGTGCCGTTTTCACAGTTCACATTAGTTCTTATTAGCATAACAGTGGATAGTCATCTTAACTGACAAGAATGAAAATTTTTATTAAATTTGTTTAGCGTAACGGTTGCGTGATACCAAATTCTTTGTTTTGTTATTTTCTACTATTATGCGTCTTTATTATAATACAATAATGTTGGGATGTTATTTAAATATACATGTTTTTATTATAGTTAGATTTGATTTTGATGCGATTTCTTATATGTATTATAAATTTAATAATTTGTCATAACCCAAAATATATGATTTTCAAACAGTGAAAACAACTTACTCATAAACTTTGTAAAATATAGAAACCATACATATTTTGAAAAAGCTACAGTAATAATCTTATGATACAAATACTATTAAAACTACGAATGACTAACTGTGAGTTGTGACTAACACATTTTCTTAATATTCCCCAAAGTCGAGTACCATACATAGGAATAAGAACAAATAAATTATGAAACTAGTCACATCAATATTGTATTGTAAAATTGTACTGCAATGCTATTAGTGTGATTATAGAAAAATTGCTATTGCAGCATTATATAGTGAGTTTCATCACAAGGTCATGACAAAATCAATGTACCATTATTAAAAACTTCTACGGTGGACTTATTTAACAATAATGAAAGCTTTTGGTATGGCAAGAGTGTGTGAGATCCCAGAAAGAATAAACAAATTACTCTAATGGACAGTAAAATTGTTTTACTTTTTTTCATGAAATTCTCGTCTGGTTTTCTTTTATTTACATTATCTGCATATCGGTAGATGAAATTTACACATTTACAAAATATAGGTACATAAACATTTATCATTACCTACATTAACCAGCTCTGATCTTGTAACTTTTCCTTATTAACTTTTTCGTGTAGATTGTACTACATAGATTTGTGTATAGTTGTTACTGGTTTTATTAATTTCTGGTTGTAATCATTATATTAAAATAAATTTTACAAGCTTTCATTTTAAAAATTGTAACAATTCCTGGCTGTAGTGTAGCACGCACGAGGACGAAGATTTAAACCTCATTTTTTTCCATTCCTTAATATGTTTAAGTACTCCTCTTTATATAATTCATAAGTGAACCTGAAAATTTCTTTTCCTAACTGTATTAAAACCCTATTGTTGTCTGAAATTCATATGTAAATTATTTTGTCTAAACATATTTTATCTTAATATATACAAATATGGTTTATATACATAAATATTTGAATTTAATAATAAAAAGAAATAACTAGTGGTATATGTATATTTTATTTCTATATATCTATTTGTTACGCATCTTAATTATTTTCTTTCTTTCTTTAATCATAAAATAGGATTCTAACAAACACAAAACGTTTTAATAATATTGATTAAAATTAAAATCCACGAAGTGAGCAAGCTTGCCATATTAAAAAGTAAAATAAAATCAAGCAGCTTTATTTGACACTGACATTTGACATGGATGTTTAGGATTGTTGTGAAGAAAACTTTCTTTGAGTCTAAAATAAAGTAATAATTATCAATAATTTGATTTAACATAATGTCCAGCCCAGAGTTAGACGAAGCTTCGCAATCGGTGATAGATTTTTTAACCGCAAATGTTCGAAAGAGAGACGAAAGTGATATAACCAACGAATTGAAAAAGGACTTTTTGCTGGCCAAAAAGAAAAGTAAGGAAAAAAAGAGAAAGCCTAATAAAAAGAAATCTAGAATACTAGGACGGAAGGAGAGGAAGAGTCTGGGTTTCTATACAATACAGAGAAACGCTATTAAGTATAATGAAATGCTGCCATTAAATAAAGTGTGGTGTGAATATATGAGTCAGTTGCTAGAGTTAGATCAGCCGGTGCCAGGATATAACAGCAAAAATTGGGAACAGTTCTCACAGACATTACATAAAGCAGATTTCCATGGTAGCTACATACAAGTTGTCCGATCTAAGTGCCCTTCCTACGTCGGTAAAAAAGGTATATGCGTAATGGACACTAGAAACACGTTCAAAATTCTTTCCTCAGACAACATACTTACAACGATACCGAAAAAGGATAGTATATTCGAATTTTATGTAAATAATATTAAAATTATGATATTCGGTAAACATTTATGTATGAAACCCGCTGAGAGGTCGGCAAAGAAAATAAAGAGCTATGTAGAACCTGATCTAGTATAATAAACTTGTAACAAAATGAAAAAGTGCTTGTTTATTAATATTTTTAATCACAATATTTCCTAATAATATCAGCAAACAAGTTTACAATTATATGACGGCAGCCATAACATAGATTTGCCTCTTATTGTAATTTTTATTTAATTATCCAAACTATTAGTAGTTTTTCTAATATAATCTATTTAGGATCCCAATAATCTCAATGGCTGTCCTAAAGTTACACATAGTTTATGCAGACAGTGGTATCCGAATTTTCTATGGTAATTATTAAATTAAAAGTCTTCTAGATTCTTGTTAGTCTGTCTGCCTGTTTGTTCACACTATTCTCTGGAATGGCTTGTCAGATTCTTGTAGGAATTTAACATTTATAATAAAGAGTAACTTAGGATGCTTATAAGCAGACTTAAACAAGAAAAAGTTCTTAATAAGAAAATTAGAAATGTCTTTTACACAATTCACTACCATTTCTTTCAAATTTTTTTTTTTATTGGAAGGGCATAATCTTGAGTTTATTCCAATTTTACATTGTTTGCATCCGATGAAGATCTCATTGAGAAATTCAAATGAAATTTTAATGATGACAACACATCTCCAAGAGAGTTGAATACGTGGGAAATGATGCAAGTAAAAACATTGACATTAGCAAAATATTCCATGTTTGCATTGCGAATGATACCAGAGCATTATAAAAAAACCAATAATTAATACACAAACCGCTGACATTGGCAAAGTATTCCATGTTTCCAGTGACAATATAGCTGTAGCAATTTAAAAAAGTTAATACACAGTATGACTTCAAAAGAAACATAAAATATGCAGTTAAATTTTTAAATAGTTAGAGAATGTTCAAGTATCTGAATAAAATCTATAAATAATAAAATTAGAACTATTGTATGGAATTAATGATAATATTGTACATTACGAGCACACAGAAAATTTAAATATTTGATTTGGGTGATATTATGTTACAAAATATTCAGGATCAGTATTTAAAATTAATATTGAATTATTTTTATTTTTAAACATTTCACATTGAAAGAATCCTTAAACTCTTCTTCAACGTAATATTTGCGAAAAACCCTTACGAGTTACGTTCAGAACGTAAAATTATTTATTTGAAAATTTTTAAATAGGCCTTCGTCGACTCATCGAAATGCAAAATTATTCTTACGATACTTTCGTTTCCAAAAACCAAAAGTATAAAATTCGAAGCCAAGTCATTAAAAATATAATTTGAGTGATAAAAACGGCTATATATATTATCTTTGTTATTTAAATGAATTGTGTTCAATTCTTATCGCTTGCAACATTTTAGTTCAATTATTTAAAATTTGTTTATGCAATGATACCAAATCATTAGTGTTGCTAGTTATTGCTCTATTAAATATTTATTTTTTATATATTAAGTATACTGCTTATCTTTATTAGTTTATAAGAAATAATTAAAGTAAGTATACATTTTCTTTATACATGTGACATTATTTTTGGAAAATAAAAGTATTTATTTTTAATGACAATTTTATTAGTGATTTTCAAATAATTTATATAACAGTGTGCTTAGCAACGCGAATGCCTTTATTTTCTGGGGTCCTTAATAAATATTTTTATATAAACTTTTTATGCGATTTATTGAAAAATGCGATTTCTTGTCCACTGTATCAGCATAACTAGATAAATGTTCATAAAGCCAATAATCTGAAAAAAAAATACTTTGATATATCATATTGAACATGGGATATAACTAAAATTAAAAATGAACCAATATTTTTGGATTACTACGCTTTTTTTAATATTTAGACGACCTTTCGTCTATCCGTGATCACTTTTGCTGTGAAGTAACAAATAAGTACCTATAAGTAAGTCGGAAATATGTAGTTTTTTAAAAATAATTTTTAGTAATCCGAAAATATTATTCATTTAAATGAATACTCGCGAAAGTCTTTAATTTTAATAAGATTAAAAATAATTTATTGTTATGGGTAATATAATTCGTAAATATACCTTCATAATGAGTGAATTGTCAATGGGGAACATGTCTAGAGCTCTCAGTTCAGGTCTACAGTGACCAAGCTGCATATAAACAACATCCCAGTGCCATGTACTCTTAGATCCTTCCGTAGTCAATTCATACATGAGACTGGCTAGATAAATGTCAACCTCATTTGACTGAAAAAGAAGTTAATAACCAAAAAGTTCGTATTATTTTAATAAATTGATTACATAATTCACCTCCTTGGTTATTAATTCCACGGGCTTGATTATCAAATAAATCTCGAAGCAGTAATAACAAATGCAGGCATAATAAGAGTGGACTTTAAAGTAATTTATTCCGTCTGAAATATATTGAATTTTATTATTATAGGAATATATTTTTATATATATGTATATTAATAAATCTGTTTACTTATATCATATAAATACGTTAATATGCTGCACAAATAGAACATTATATAGATGACATATGATGCGATTGCTATAAAAATGGCTTTCCCGCTCGCCTGGTTCATCTGTTCCATAACTTCACACGAGGATATGTAAGATTTTATTAAACTACGCACCCTTTGTAGCTTATTATCCATTGAAGATGAAGAAGGATCTTAAAACGCGAAATATAAACATAATTCAAACTATATTTTAGTCAAACTGATAATTAAGAATAATGGGAGCTGTGACCGTTAAAATGTTATTGCTAATAATAAGAATTACATTTGAAATTTGACATAAATTTGTCTTGTTTCTTTTTTATATTATAGACATTTTTTAATCCCCGTCTTGGTTATCCGTGCAACTTATATACATTAGTTTTGTAAATGTCTGTTATAACTTTTTATGTTATGGTAATGTATATATTTAAGTAATTTAACTAAATGAGATTTTTAATATGAATGTATACGGTTGAATATATCAATATCGTGATAAACTGAAAAGAAATTGTGTTTTATTGGATTGTTCAGTTTGCAGAATCTAGATGGAGTGAAAAGTCTGTAACTTAGTTCGAAGACTATCTTGTAAATGTATTATATAATATTTTTATAAAATATTTCATTCAAATTTAAAGTTTCTAATGTGAAATCGTCTCTAAACATTGTCTTGTACGTATAACTGTCAATTAGACATCTACGCCTGTCACATTATCACGTGATATTGTCAAAACACCTTTCCTCGTTTCGTCGAGTAGTTCAGCCAGTCTGCGTTTAATGATTCTGAACACTTTATATAGATCGTAATTCACAACTATAATTTGCATCATCATAAACATAAACGTCGTATACATAAAACAGATAATGGCAAGAAAGACATCTGTTAAATCTGTAAAAAAAATAATCATTATTTGTTATAAATTTAACTTTTCGTTTAAATAGATATATAAATTAACAATTCTCACTGTAGTCATGATATAAATCCTGTACAAAATTCACAAAATTCATTATAATAAAAAAACTCAATGAGCTTATTAAAATCATACTAAGCCTTCTTTCTTCTGAATTCCATCTGTCATAATCATTAATAATTTTACTTGTTATCTGTAACGTACAAGATTTAATGTCAAAATTAAATGTCAAATTTTATAAATTAAAATTCTCCAAAGAGTATTTATATGTATTTATATAAAAGTAAAAAAATAAACCAACTTCATTAGTCTCATTAATGTATTGTATGAAACATTTGGTTGTTCTCCTGCTATTGATGACGGCAAAAAATATGCCCAGAATACCCATTATGATGTCAATGCTTTTATACGGCCACCATTTACGATTTGATTGACATACATAGAAAAATACATAGGATTCGCTTAAAACGGCTCCAATTACGGTTAAACCTTTAAATATACATAAAGCACTTATTTTCGTTATCTGTTTAATAGAATTAGATGATGATTGAAATACATACAAGAAATTGTGAAGTAAGCATATTGGAACCAGCTGTCGTGTGGTGCTAGAATTGCTCTATAGCGATTATTCCCATTGCTGTTAATGTATACGGGAGCGCCTCCAGTGAAACGGGACAAGATGAACAGGTACGCAAGAGGTCTACTGACCGTCGCTTCCGAAACCATGCTTAAATAGTAAAATCAACCATTCACCAATGTCAAGTTTTTTAACATAAAAACACGTCGAAATTGACAAATTATTTCACAAATGTAATCTAAATGAAGCATAAAACAAACTACATTACTCACAATCTTTGATTTTTAGTTAGAAAATTGAAATACATCAGGTAGACTTACACAGGCGTGTGTAAGCGAGACGATTAAAAAAATATTACAATATATCCATTCTCTTTTCTTCTATACCTGTATAAAAAATCTACAGAAGACTTATGATAAGTTATTTAAAGACGTTTCTACATATTTTTTTTACGTAAAATTAAATTCTTGTCACACTTCATTACAAACATCGTCAGTGTAACCTCAGCTTTATACATTTATATAATGCCAGTAATTATATGACCGTATTATTAAATGAATATTAAAGCTTCAATTACTACTGAAAAAAACACTTTCGGTAAAATAGTATGTACTTGTTATCTTTTTTTTTTATTGTAAATGCAAGTGCATTTCTATATTCGTCTTTATAATTAAAAAAATTGATTAGTGAGAAATATATTATATACTTCGCTGTAGTAAATTATTTGTAACTAAACAATTTGTTTTTATATCCACTCAATTCGGTAAAAGGATTATTGATATCAGTAGATGACGGTGTTATTTTAAAAGGGGATTCTATTATACGGCTACTTTTAGTAGACAGTACGAAAACGCTTACTTATTTTGAAGAGTTATGAAAATTTTCAATACGCAACAAACCTATTTGATATCTCTGTAACAGATTATTTTTCTTCCAATGAAAACACAATCCGAAAAACCTGAAAATTTTACTTTAATTAAAATGGCGGCTGTCCATAGACTTAATATATCCTTTGATTATACATGTAACATGTCCAGATTAGACAGCCATGAATTATTTTATGTCATATTCGAATATTAAGCAACCGTAAACTAACAAACGTTTGATAGATCAGTGTTTATATTAATATATAATGAGGGTTGTCCAGACAGTTTGTTTAACCTTAAGTAAACAAAATGAAGGATGACCGACTAGCTTCAATTCAAACGTACATTTTAATGGTCAGAATCGTTTAATATTATCGGACAACTCAATCCGATACCAACATTAATTTGTCTGTCTCGATAAAACATGTATACAGTAATGAAAGAATTGGATAAAGTTTTTTCTCGCGGTCTTTTGGCTAATGTCTTCCGAATTTCTCGTTTGGCGGGAGTAGCACCTTATGTATATACTCGTAATGGGCCTGTCATCTCAAAATCTCTCACAGTTTATGGGTACTGCCTTGTTACGTTTATAAGTGAGTTTTAACATCATATCTTTTCATGTGTTTTTCACTACAGAGATAGACATTGTATGTGCACTGTAATATTTTTTATGCTAAAGTGGCAACCAAACAGACGACATACCTAATTAAGGTAGTAAATTTTTGCAAATGAGGTGCCACCCTTGATTGAGGAAGGGCAAGAGGAAAGGTGGGAAAGGGAGGGAAAAGGGAAGGGGTAGGAAAGGCTGGGAAAAGGAAAAAGGCAATCGGCTCTCTCACGCATCGGATGAAACGTAGCTATTAAAGACTACTTCACGCCGATCTTCTGTGAGAGGGTGATACTTCCCCGGTCGAGCCAGCCCATTATCAAGTTGTGGTTACTTGCCCATAGCTACGCTCTACCACTTCAATGATATACTTGATTTGTCAGCATAACTTGAATGTTTTAGATGTGGCAGTCATAGCTGGTTTCGCCATAGACCTCCAAACAGATCCATCAAGATCACTCCGCACGTCCACACCAACATCTTGTATAGTTTGGGTATCAAATGTCACTATTGTTATTATGATAGCCAGTGCTGGCGTGTACCAGGGATCTGGACGTTTCGCAACCAACATAAATACTCTCAAACAAATGATAGAGGTATACATTACTTGGAAAACTAATCTTGAAACAAAAAAGATTCTAAATGAAACATGAAACCTTTTTAGATCAAAACCTTCATAGGCCTTAAGGCTGAATCGTATTCTGACAGCAATAATAGTTTGTCAGTCACCTTCATGTCATCTGCACTTTGCTTTCTACTTGTAACAGATCTTTTTTCATGGGTAAAGGAAGCTATTTATTCTGACAAAGACGGTAAAAGAGGTTTTATTATTATATAAAAAAAATAATAAATAATTTTATTCACAAAGTTATTCCTACTTTTTTTTAGTTTTAACACTGATTATGTATTCATTTCTATACTACGAGTACATATTAATTTTATTGATACAATTACAATTTATATTGTTAGCTTGGGAATTGAGATTTATATTGAAAAATATCAATGAGGAGTTGAAAAAGAAAACGAATAATGCTCTTTCAACTAAAGGTGAGTAATTATTTTACTTAAGTACAATCCTTTTAATTTATTGATCTCAATTAAAAATATTAATTGATGTTATTATAAATTTTATATCGCCCTTTTGTTTAAACTATATTTATAATTTAAAAATCATTATGGCCACTATAAACTTCTGTATTTCTAAGTATTATATAAGTATTTATATTCATATTCAATTGTTAATTAACACTCATGAATGGTTTATATTATTAAAACTGTTGTACGTAAAAAGTTGTGTTGCAAATCAGTCATTATCTTACGATGAAGCCTAAATAATAATATAATTATTTTTGTTTCAAGGTAAAAGCTTGACAAGGTATTTATACCCTTCTGACTCTATTGGAATCACGACTTTAAACAATTATGTTTTAAACCGACCCAAGCGTAAGTCTTTACTCAAACCCGACGCTAAACTATTATATAGAACAAGTTTTACAGGTAAGATATATAAAATATATGTATAATATTTGGAAAAGTTTAATAAATTATAATGAGATCTAAGACTTTCGCAAGTTTTATTCATTTAAATGAAACTAATGTTTTTCGGATATACTACGCGGTTAATTCACATCTCGTCTGCCCGTGATCACATGCTGAAAAGTAGCCGAAACGCCGGGAATATGTAGTTATCTATAAAAATAAACCGCGTAGTATATCTGAAAAACATTGGTTTTAAATTTAAATTAATAAATTTTAAATTTATTAAGACGAGAGTAAAGATGGTGACCTAGAAGTGATTAATGGCGGGAATATAAGAAATACGTCGATAGCGTACGGATTAATCTGCGATGTTTTGAGAGAAATTAATGACAACTATGGTATTGTGCTACTATTTGTAGTGCTGTCGTTCTTTCTTCAGCTCATCATAACGCCATATTATATGCTGACCGCATTATGTAAGTAATTTCTTATAATACATGTCTTTAATTAATTTATTACAAGTATATAACTATTTTGTTTGATTTTAATTCTAGATACTTCGGTAGATTGGCGTATCAATCTGCTATTTCAATGTTTCTGGTGCATTTTTCATATATGTAACATGATATTGGTCGTTGAGCCGTGTCATCGCACACAACAAGAGGTTTAATCCAACAGTTTTTCTATTGTAATACTTTGTAACATTGGGTAATAATTATATTTAATTTCCTTTAGATAGATGAAACTCAAATTCTGGTTAGTTTGATATTGCGTTCGGAAACTATAAACAAATTTATATTATCTGAATTGGACCTCTTTTATAAACAGCTAACTCTCAATCGACCGTCCTACACTCCAATGGGAATGTGTACTATGTCGAGGCCGCTCATGGTTACTGTACGTATTAAAATGATTATATTAAAATATTATCCCTCTCCTATATTAAATAGTGTTCCAGAAGTAAAAAGAAAATTCTGAATGTAATGGAATCTCGTTTTTTTAAATAAAAATGGCTGCAATGAAATTTAAAATCGTTACTGAACGTTTAATCACTGTCATGTATTAAAATTGGTTTTATTTTATAGTAACTATATGTCCTCTCAGCTCAGCTAAAAAGTTTTTAATAAACTATACATATATTATTCATCTATATACAAATAATTATTATTTGTTTCAGATAATTGGAGCTGTCACTACATATTTGGTCATCGTATTCCAATTTCGGACGTTTGAGCTACATTTAAAACACTAGTCTTTTTTGTGTTGTCAATTTTCAAAACATTTAATTTGACAGCTCCATTAAATGCAAAAAAAATTGCGATGTTTTGTATGATTTCAATTAAAATATGTGTAAAAGAAATATTTATTGAGGTGTCCGGATTCAATTAGATGTTTCTAATTATATTTGACCCATGCCATAAAGTTTTATTAAGTTATGTTTTGGATATAAAACCTAAAAAATCATTGTCATGCCAATTTTTACACTATATTCTTAAATAGAAAAAAAGATTTACGTAATTTACAACATATAGTATTAAAATAGATTAATTTGTTTTAAAATTTATTAACAAATGGGCTAGATAAATATATAAGTTTTTTTTTCTAAAAATTTATGTTTTTCAATATTGATATATATTGAAATATAAAAAAATATATTAATATAGTCTTAAACTTGATTAATACTTTATTGCGTTTCATTTCACTACTTTTCGTAACTCTTTTTCATTTTGACATTTGGAAAAACCTTCTTATATAGTAATTTCTAGTTTATTCCCCTAAAGAACAATATCGATTTTAAGCTTTATTCTTATTTCTATTTCATTACGAACTAAATTTCTTGACATAAAATCCATACGAATATTAAATAATAGGTCAAAAAATAATTTTCGGTTTATATTAAAAATACATAATAATTCGATATTTCTTGTCAATCACTTTGCATCATTGACTAACTTTCGCTACAAATTCACAATGTTCCTTTTTTTTCACGCTACAAATTCACAAAGAGTAATGGAAGACTGTAAGCAAAAACAAAGAAGCGTGGTATTCAGATATACTGAAAGCCCCGCCCGCCCATCCTTGGAATAACAAATTAAAGCAGTATAACAGAAAAATTATAGTTACAATCAAAAGACTAATGTTCGGCCACTGCCAGACCCCCAGTCTTTTATATACATAAATTGTAATTACTACAAAATTGTACTTGCCCGAAAGGTCAACAAGATTTTTCAAATCTGTAGCTAAATTTATTACTAATACTAAAGAAACTTTATAATACAAAGTGATTTACTTACTGTGACAGAAAATAACGGATTTTCCGTGTACTTTTCAAATGAACTGTCATACATAGCGTATGATGTATAATTTGTAACAATAAGGCTCAAAAGAACTCGTATCCAGAGCCGTAAAAACGTTTACAAAAAAAAATATGACACACTAAATGACATTATACCAAGCAGTGCGCAGTCATTGATTTGTGTTTTCATTGTCTTTCTCTGGTCATAATAAATAAAAGTAAAGAAATTTCAATGTAAAATCTTTATGTATTGTTTGGCATCTCTAAAAAATACTCTCGGAGCGTATAAATTAATGTTTCATATCGAGTTTCGTGTTTGTATTGTACCATAATAATCTAGACTTCTTTGTTGTCGTACGTAGTTCGTGTTAGTTTTTCTTAAATGTCTGTATCTTTGTGTGTTTTACGTATCGAAATTGACGAAGATCTGCCAGAGATGGCTGATAATCCTGCCGAAGTCGGTAAGTGTATATATAAAATTAAAGAAATATAATGCTGCCATTCAAAAATGCTTTTGGACTACCCACTATCGAAAATGTAGTAATCCAATTATTATCTGATATGAGCAAATTTTTCTCAAACTGTGTATATTTCTAGAACTTGCCAAAGAACAGAAGAAGAAAGACCGAGGGGCTCGTGAATCAAAAACTATCACAGTAGAAACATATGCTAGTGTCGTGTCTGGCGCGGCGTCCGAAACTGGTATACTGCCGACCAGTTCTCGCAGGTCACCGCCCGAGGGTAGCAATGACCGAGAAACCATCAGCTTCTTCTGTGGAAACCCCCTTGTCGAAGTCACAAAGGGCGTTTTACATTTATATAAAGAAAAGTATGAAAATATCATTAATTTCACAACCTCATTAATTATACTAACCAATTTCTTTCGCCGGTTCTTCTCAGGTCAGGGTATTTTCTTTTCCGAACCGTTGGTAGTGTCTCAAGTGACCATCAATAAGAAAGTGTAATGCTTCTATATTGAATAAAGTTATTTGAGTTTGACAAAAAAAATCAACTGTTCCCTAGTATGCTATTACTTGTAACAATATATTAATTATAGTACTCTTTATATAAATGTTGTGTTACAGTGAGTTAAAAGAAGCCGAAGAAGCTAAGACCCTCTGCCTGCTGTCCGTTCCTGGTGCCCTGGGAGCGGCTGATCTACTAGCGTTTGCAGCCGCATGCCAACAAGATATCTGTCATGTTAGAGTACTGAGAGACGGCTCGCCGGATCATTATATGGCATTGTTTACGTGAGTAAGATAAATAAGTCATTAGTTAAGGGGCCCCTTAAACCTACACCTGGGTCACAAGTCCCAGGCACTGTTGAAGTTCCTCTCCCTACAACGATGGACCCGACACACGCACGGTGAATCCATTGAATGCTGAGAGGTTTCGTCTCATATCTCGTCAGCCCATGATCATGGTTGCGGAAAAGTATCCGATATATCGGGAGAATGTAGTTTCTATCAAAAATAAAGTCGCATAGTATATCCAAAAAATATTAGTTTCGTGTAAAAGATAAGTAAGTGTTGCGGTAATATGTGGTTATAGTATTGAGTAATAACAATTTGTGAAGAGGCGCTTTACCAACTTAGACTCTCTCTTTGTCTCTCTCTATCTCTGTCTGTCTCTCTCTCTCTCTCTCTCTCTCTTAGTTAATGGTGTATCCTAATAGTTTTCACCAATGTTATGTCCGCATATTATACTGAACTATATAAAGAGGGATTTGTAATTGAATAAGGTCATGACTAGAGACTAAGAACTTTAATACTGCTGAGATCATTCACTTCATTCACTTTTCACTGAGTTTTATAATAACATACAAGAGTTTATTTTAAACCTAATTATATTAATATGATTAATTTAGAAAATTAGTCAATTTAAAAAATCCTTCCATTTTAACACTTGTTTGAGAAGTAAAAATTGTTTCTGTTTTTGATTTTACAAACTATCATTTGTCAACTTTCCCTCCATTTTAAGGAAATTTTCAAGAACGTGTCATATTTTTGTCATTGATATATTTTTATTTTAGTAGTGTAATTAAAACCAATGTATATATATTTCAAATAATTTATTTTAAAGAGTGTTGATAATCAAATGTTCTGTTTGGAGTTTGTAGCAAGTATTATATAATTTTTTTATTCTTTGTTAACTTCTAAATCTTAAAAACTGAATGACTGCATAAAATGGATAGTTATACTTTTTTTAAACATGCTTGTTTCTTTATATACATATGTTTATTGTTTGCGATAATAATTAAAGCTTTTTATGCTGCAAGAAATATTTACTATTATAATAACAAGCTAGCTCTGGTTGTTTTACAAAAATCTGTAAAAAAATAATATTGCAATGACTCAGGAATAATTTCTTACTGTCTCATGTTACTAGAACTCAGCAATAGATGATCATTATATGTGTATTGGGATTTAATAATAAAAGAATTTGACAATAAATTATACTCAGAAAATTCAATTGTTTTCTATATATCACATTATATTGATTAAATTAAATATTGTATTGATTCTTGAATGTCCATTAGATTCCGCACGTACGAGGCTGCCCGTGAGTTCCACACGGCCTTCTCAGGAGTTCCGTACAGTAGTCTGGAGCCCCAGGCACTCTGCCACGTGGCCTGGGTCTCCAGGGTGGAGTACGCCCGCTCGGGGACTCCGCCCCCCGCGCACACAGAGCTCCCCACCTGTCCCGTCTGTCTAGGTAATAGGAATCATACTAAAGTTTATTATCCCTACTAATTTTATAAATGCGAAAGTAACTCTGTCTGTCTGTCTGTGTGTCTGTTACGCTTTCACGCCCAAACCACTAATAATGGAGTTGACCTTGAGAAAGAACATAGGATAGTTTTAATCCCAGACTTTTGAAAGATTCTCTTGGAAACGCGACATAACCGAACTCCACGCGGGCGAAGCTGCGGGCGGAAATCTAGTAGTATATAAATTAATATATCTCAAGATCTGTCTCAAGATGTGTCTGTATGCAACTCCTATACAGTCGTTTCATATTAAGTGATGATCAGAACAAATACAGTACCTTATAATTCGTTCATAGCATAATAAGTGTTATATCTTAAGATCTGTCGTATGATGTTTGTGTATGTATATATATATTCTATACAGAGCGTATGGACGAGAGCGTGGCTGGCGTCCTCAGTGTACAATGTTCGCATTCCTTCCACGCTGACTGCCTCGTAAGATGGAGGGACGCCCGCTGTCCCGTCTGCCGCTGTGCACAGACACCTGAACCAAGGGACAGAGCTGTGTGTCTACAGTGTGAGAGTGGTGAGTATGTGTGTGTGTGTGTGTGTGCAGTGCCGTAACTAGGGCAGTACCAGCAGCTCCCAGGCACAGGGCGCAGATCCTGGAGGGGCGCAGAAATGACCAGACTAGAATCTAGTTTTATCTCATGCATGGTAGCTATATACTTATATACTTTGTTACTTTGGTAAACAACAAATAGATTCATTTATTTGTATGCACATTTGTCCATTTTATTTTTAGAGCCTGGTTAGAGTATTTTTTAGGGGCGCAGTTTTGAAAGCTCGCACCGGGTGCATAAAAGCCTAGTTACAACACTGTGTGTGTTTGTAGAGTATGTGTGTGTGGTCATCTATATACTTCATTATTGTTGTGTGTGTTTGTAGAGGGAGGCTCCATGGAGGAGGGGGGTCCCGTCGGTGAGGGTGAGGGCGCGGGCGAGGCGCTCGAGGCGTACGGCTCGCTGTGGATATGTCTGATATGTGGACACGTAGGATGTGGAAGGTGATGTTATATATATACATTAAAATCTTAATACATTTAAAAAAAATGTTGTACACAATTATAATAATCATGAATCCAGAATTATTGTAAAACTTTATTTGATTTTGCCTTAATTGTGTAAATTAGAACATTTTCCATTTAATTACTTGGCAGAAAATTCTAGAATTTTTGAAGAAACAAAATAAAATTCTTTCTAAATAAGTATGGAGTCGGATCATTGATGTATTTTCTCTTTATAATTTTGTTTATTTCAGTATATATGATTGGTACCACAATAGATATACTAATGAAATTTTCAAACATTGATAAAGTATTAGTTTTATGACCAGATCAGGTATTAACCAAATGTATTCTTGGATTTTTATAACTCTTCCAATTTATATTACTCCTGGTAAAATGCTAGTTAGATCCTACTTATACTATTGTAATGGTACCTAGGACTTTGACAAAGTGTATATATATTAACAATTATTGGATATTCATTATGAAATAATGAACATTTAGCTTCTTTAAATGTATATAAATTTAATATATAATATTCATTCTTACAGATATGAGAAAGGACATGCAGCCAAACATTTCCTTGCATCAAACCACACATATGCACTTCAGCTCGGTTCAAACCGAGTCTGGGATTATGCAGGTTAATATTAAACAATAAACATACAAAGTTAAACAAATACTTTCGTACTACATCTAATACTCATCGGCCAATCAAAGCCCACTTCTGATCTAAGGCCTCTTCTCACATGGAGAAGGTTTGAACATTAATCACCATGCTTGCTCAAGACGGGTTGGTGATTACAATCTTATAATTGTGAAATTACAAGTCCAGGTTTCCTCACGATTCCTTCATTGTCTGTCAGTGGTGTCTAAATAGTCTTAGATAATACATCTAATACACAGTGATAATTTATAACCATATTATTTTTGGTCTTATTTTCTTTATATACAATTGACAAACTACTCATTGTCATCATCAAAATTGAGGGTTGTATGTATTTTATAATGCAACAATTAAATATATGTATAAATAAATTAAAAAAGTAAAGAAAAATGTTAAGGGTTGACAACACTTATCACTAAGGGATATGAAAAATAGATGTTGGATTCTCAGACCTATTCAATATGCTCACAAAATTATATGAGAATACAATTTTATATAAAGGATAATAATTTAGAATTTTATATATAAGTTATACTTATAATTTTATCAGGTGATAACTTCGTACATCGTCTGGTCCAGAACAAGGCAGACGGTAAGCTAGTGGCAGCAGAAGGTGGTGTTGGCTCCGACGCTGGCTGTCATGACAAAATGGACGCCGCTCAGCTAGAGTTCACATACATACTGACACACCAACTGGATAACCAGCGGGCCTATTATGAGGAGAAGATTAACAAGTATGTTATATATAAATAAACATCAAGGCTTAGATTGGACTATAATGATGGATATATAAGAAACTACACAAATCTCAGACGATATTTGTATGTCCACCTCGAGATCAGACATATTTATATATTCGAAAATTTTAAAGACAATATGTAACATCAAGTTCAATAAATATTAGGAGTTCACTAACAAACTCAGTCGAAATAGGTTCGTCGTAGATATGTACGCGGTAGAAATGGGAGCGAGAGGCATAACAGCTAAATCACTCTATAACTTACTAAAAGACTTGGGCCTGTCCAGAACTAATACTAATTCATTCTTAAAACTTATGTCCAAGGCAGCCCTGGTAGGTTCGTTTTAAATTTGGTTAGGTGGTGAGAGGAGCTTGGACGGTGGAGGTGAGCATTTAACGTTAGATAGGGGTCCCTTAAACCTACACCTGGGTCGCAAGTACCAGTCACTGTTGAAGCTCCTCTCACTACAACGATGGACTCGGCAACCGCCCTTTGAATACATGTAACGAATATGTTTTTGTCATACTTTCTGGTTAACTACAGTTGATATCGACATAAATTATTGCCTATGTGTAAGTATGACATTGACATTTTGCTAGTTCTACTGTCTTCTTCAAGATATAGTTTCACTGAAATAAATTTCCATCCGTACATCCATACATTTCACATATATATATATAAGTTATACATAATAAGCTTTTATAATTTATCAGGCTGGAAACCGACCACCGCGCCGCCTCATCAGCGGCTGAACGTCGAGCCGAAACAGCTGAGACCGAGGTCACTGACCTCAAAATGAAACTTAACACACTCACTAAAGAACACGCGACCATAGAGAGACGGATGCAGAGCCTAGCTAATAAGTACGTATACATTTGACAGCTGATTAATATACATATATATATGTGTGTGTGTGTGTGTTAATATGTATGTGTGTGTAGAGTGACGTCACTACAATCTGAGTTACAAGAAGAACGCGGGCTTGCTTCAGCGCTGGCGACCGCTCACAAACAGTGGCAGGAACAGGCGAGGAAGACGGAGGAGGCTCTCACTAAAGAGGTTAGTATTAATTAGATCAGGGGTGTACAAACTCGACGGCAAATATGAATAAAATTTTAAGCCACGGTTTTGACAGCCCTGAATTAAATCAAATTTTTACGTAGTTTATGACGTTGTTATGTTTCAGGTGAACGAACTAAAGGATCAACTCAGAGATGTGATGTTCTTCGTAGAGGCTCGTTCGTCACTAGCGGCGGCTGCCCCAGCAGAGGAATTAGCTGAAGCTAAAGTCACCGTCGCACCTACCAAACCTAGACGCAAGCGGCGATAGATTATACTAATATCGCCACAGATTACGTAATAAGTGACACGCCACAGATTATATTATATAAATGACGCACCACAGATTATATATCATTTACGAGAAGAATATAGCAAACGAAGATTACAGTTACATTCAAAATTTTAAAGGCTATATTTATAGAAAAAAAATGTGCACAATTATAATAATCATGAATCCAGAATTTTTGAAAAACTTTATGTTGTTTTAAAATTATTCTTTATAAAACTATGTATCTATTTGATTTCGCCTTAATTGTGTAAATTAGAACATTTTCCATTTAATTACTTGACAGAAAATGCTATAAGTATCATTATTATATAGATTATAAAAATATAAAGCTGTATTTACATTTAAAGCAGGTTTAACATAATTTCGTCCATAATTAGCCATTTACCTTTCGCGAATCGCACGGCTGATGAAAAATATATTACTTCAATAGAAATATTGAGTCATAGAATTTCTTAAACTAACTATTATTAAAGATATCTAAGATTTTTGCGAGTATTCATTTAAATGAAACTAATATTTTTCGGATGTACTACGCGATTTTTATTTTTGACTAGCTTTTGCCGCGACTTCGTCCGCATGGAATAGTGATTTCCGGCAGATTTTTGGTTCTTCTCACATAGTTCCCGTTCTTGCGGGGTTTCGGAATGGTCGAGTTCCAGTAGAATTTTCAGGATAAAACCTATTTTTTTTATTCACAATGAAGTATTCTTAACCAACAACATATTTATTTGTTTATTTGAATAAAGATTAATATTATTATGTTGATACAACCTAAACAAATTATTTCGACCAAATTAGGTACCATAGAAACGGTTTTTGTGAGTTAATCTTAAAAGATAGACATATACTGCCGGAGACTGTTTTTTAGATCATTAAAAGAGCTATTATTCTTTAATACATATTTTTTGTGTATCTTGAACCGTTTTCACGGCGCACGCAACGGAAGGCTTCAAAGATGAAATTATTTCTCTCGTTTTTTTACACATTTACACCTATATCTTTGCTCCTATTGGTCGTAGCGTGATGTTATATAGCCCACAGCCTTCCTTGATAACTGGACTATCCAACACAAAAAAAATTATTCAATTCGAACCAGTAGTTTCGGAGATTAGCGCTTTCAAACAAACAAACTCTTCAGCTTTATAATATTAGTATAGATTATAAATTATATACTCCCGACGTTTCGGTAACTTTACAGCAACCGTGATCACGGACAGACGAAAAGTGAAAAAAAAACCGCATAGTACGCCAAAAAAATATTAGTTTCATTTAATTATCATTAGTACGTTTAAGTTATAATTTATTACTTTGAAACCTTTCTTAGCAAATTCTAAAATAATTGTATTAGTGTAATAATATGAAACTGGTGGTAAGCGTAGATTGAAAAATTCTAAACTATGATAGATAATAATAATTTGTTGTATAAAACCTAAGTGAAAGCTTCTTCGTCTTACAAATAAAACTTGCAATATGCTGTGATAAAAATGTAAAATAAAACAATAAAAAAATATACTTTATTACTTTTTTATTTCATTTCCCGCCTTAACTGAGATCGCAACATATTAAGATATTTTTATAAAACCCTTATTAGTCTAGTCAATACGAGCTTTTTAGTCTAAAATTTTTAAAAGTCCCGGAAAAATATGGTTGAGTGCTCATTCGATTCGGTATAGCATCTAGAAAGTTTTTGAAAAATTTCAAAACCCGCTCGAAAAAAATTGCAAAATTTAATAAACAAAAAAAAAGTTCAGTTTTTTGGGTATATCTCGATAACTATTTGAGATATTTAAAATTATATTTGGTGTTGTAATTATCCATTAAAAAAATATGAGCGATGTAGGTGAAAACACGTTTCTATATTTAAAATGAATATGTTTTTTTAATTTATGGTTGTTACTTTATCATTTTTCAAAGCAGATGTTATAAATTTACGGAAAAACATTTTTTATTACTAAATGAAATAAAAATTTTTGAAAAAATGTGTTACAAAGATTAACAATGAAAATTTATTATTTGTTAATCAATAATATCTAAAATATGACGTTGTATATAAAGAAATTTAAACATTGAAGAAGACTGGTCTTTTGCGTAATTAGCAAATACTTGAAAACCTTATTTTCCTTTACGTATATTTGGAAAATACTTGTTCTATTTTTCTTACAGTGTATTTATTGATTAAATATCTATATAATCTTTGCAAATAGTTCTTTAAGGGAAATAACTATTCTTACGACGATTACTCCACATATAACAACAACAAAAAATGTATTTCACAAATATTCATAGTAATCAGATAAATAAGAATGTATGATATTTATATATTCTTTACTTAATACAAGAAAAACCTTTCTCTGTGGCCACTTAATTTTATTCAACGTGCTTTTGGATCTGGCAACACTGACAGCTACTGGTAATTGGTGTAGACAAACTTATTTATACATAGTAATAGAATATAGACTAAAAATCGATATAGCCAATTTGCTGTTCACTGTTCAGACTTAAGAGACGCCAACCTCAGAAATTAGGGGTGTTCTGAGGAAAAGTAATTAAATATAACAGTAAAGTTGGCTTCTAGAATCCTCTATACCAGTAAAAACACTGCTACAACAGGTTACTAACATAATAAGATATCGAATCGAGTTTTCACAAAGGTAAGACATATTTTGTATATAACTTGAAGTGAGTCGTGCAAATTATTTATGTTCATTAGATATTTTTGCCAATGATCACTTCTTTGCATGTATGTCTATTTTGCGTGATTTACAGGGCACAAGACCACCGGAGTCCAGTTAAATAAACGCGTCTTTGCAAAAGACTTAACTCTGTGTTACTGTGTTATCGGAGTAAGCCTTTCGCATTTTCGCAATAAATCTCCGTTTACCGTTATTTATACAATGGTTTGTCTGAATGAAAATGAAAGCCTGAAGCTAGCGATGGAAAAAGTCCAATTGTTTATCCTCATTGGCTTTTTATGCCATCGCTATTTGTGGGCTATCTTTCGTCTACTTTATTGCTTTTACAAAAAAAAAAACACCTTAACGTCGGAACTTGGAACGACTTCTTTAAACAACAAGCTATACAATGTATACGTAAATTTAATACATTTATTAATATTCAAACTTTGTTTAAAGCGGTTTCACATTTCATAGTGCATACTGACACTGAAACTTAACTGCTGTAACCCAGCAGTTTATTGTGCTTATCTTGTTGACTGGGTGATTCATTATGGGAGTTTTTTTATATAACCAAGTTGCAGGTGAATAGCAATCCATAGAAGTCCGTTTGTGAGCTTGTCATGTGTTTGATATCAGATTCTGTAGTCAATGTTACATAATGTTCGATTTCCATTGTTATTAACATTGGTTGAAACTAACCTCCGATAGAAGCTTCGGAAACATGAATGACAAAACATCAAATATTTATTCTCCCTCTCATTGAATTGCTTTATAACACTTAAATATTAATTATAACAAAGTCAAAATATTAATGAGTTTAATTTTCCAATTCTCCTTACATATACAACATATTTCTCATGATTTAATACTTATATGTTATGATACATATAAAATACTATATCACTAGAAAAAGTATATCTCACATACTAAACACTATGTAAATATATATACATATACATATACTTTTGCTTATACCTCACTTCAAGACAATTTCTAAGTTTATTTTCCCGCTTACATGCATGATATGCTTAATAAAAGCTTAATTAGCATCTTTATTACTCTTATAGCATGCCTATTAGATGTAGAATGTTTAATCATTTTCCTCTACAATATCATTACTTAACAATAGAAATATTTCATAATAATTTTCTATACAATGGTTAAAAAATAATTGATATATAAATGAATGAAAACTAATTATTAATGCTACTACCATTGGGTTACAAAGTTACAAGATTTTAAAGGTTCTAGATTTTGCTCGTATTATCTTTTTGATCAAAAAAGTATACATAAACAAGTATTGATTTCTTCTTGGTTTTGTTTTAATGTGATTTTAGTAGAAATGTTTGTTAGTTTATTTAATGTCATATTGTTTGTATATCTTATGGTAAAGAAATATTTTGGAAACGATAACTAATATGGGTAATGTAAATATTTATGGGACTTTCCTGATACTTAATATAATTGAATATACAATTCCATTCAAAACTTTTCAACCATTCTAAAGGCTACTACAGATAGATGGGCATAAATTGAAATGAGTGATAGGTATATGTTTTAATAGTTATATTTGTAATAAAACGGACATTAAAAAAAATTAAAAATATATTTAATTTATTTGAATTGATCTAACACAGAAATATACCAAATTTTATAAATAATTGACCAAAATACTATAAAATTATATAATATGTTAGTCAACTCTCAGTTTTTACTAGATAAATTATAAAGAAATATAAATAATTGCAAAAAGTTTCATTTGACTGACAATACTACATTCAGTAATATTAAAGTATGTAGTAAAACCAAGTAATGGTCATGTTTGTTCATAGAATCTCAGTATATTGCATATGCAACAAATGCATACACCTCATGCGGCATATGCATAATAATTCTTTGAGCCTTGGGATAAAAGAACTATAATATATTTATTTTATAATTCCAAAGGGCAAAAGCCAGCTTTTGTTAATTTTTATTCATTTCTCTTTGAAACTATTACCAAGATATATTAATTCAACCAACTTCCTTAAAGTCCATTCATATATGGGTGTAGTATTTTGGGTCTTTGTTAAAATTTAGTAATTTATATTAATTCTGTTTATGACAAAGAGATGGGAAACTCTTTCTATCGATAACTTCCACTTGATTTTGATTAAGTTATGTAACTTCGAGTGATGTGCATCATATAAATATTGATTCGATTGATACATTGAAAGGGTTTCTTACTTTTCTGTGATAGGATATTTTGATTTTTAATAAGAGTGTCATGTGTAGGTATTGAGAGTGAAGTTTATAAATTCTGAAAAGTTCCATTAGTAGAAATACAGGCAATTAAGTTTACTTAATTATGGTATCGGATCTTCTTAAAAAGACGAGATGAGTACAAATTACAGAAATACTGCTCAATGAAAGTCAAGTTTCTGAGGAATAATTAGTATTGTGAACCAAAGCAATTATAATTATATTTATGGTAGCAGGGTTATAATTAACTAAATATGTGTTTTTATGTTTATGTCTAAGACAGGGTTTTTCAAACATTGGATCGCGACCCCCAGGGGGCTAAAAAGTATTTGTATTGGATTTGAGGCATATTTCTTCGTACTTAAAAGGCCGTGTTACGAATAAGGTTGAAAAACCCTGGTCTAAGATATCAGAACTTTGTCTTTCGTGATGGAGCCTTTCGTGATGAAGATTGAAAACATCCAAATAGATTTTATTCATATAATTTTTAATAGTTTCTGGTTCTTCACACTATATGAAATATATTTACCTATAAGGCAAATAGAGCAATTAAAAGTTCTTTCTTTAAGAGAAAAGTCATTCAACTAGATTGACTCTATAGACTAGAAAGAGAAATAAGTCGTTTATCCTATTTTCATAGTCCACAAATATTTCCCAATAACAGTTCACACTTTTCTTACATACATTATTATTGCGTTATGTTGAGTTTGTTAATGTTTTTAGATATTTAATGATGAGTGAAGAACTAAGTCCGCCTCCCAAGAAAACGAAAATCGAGTTTGAAAATGAGACAGGAGAGATTGACTTCGCCGACGACACAATAGTTGAGAACAAGTTTGATATAAAGGATCGCTGTGAGAACTTCCTCACGACCCAGGAGTTGGAGCAGCTGAGGGAGTTCAAGGTCTTGGATGAAGTGAAGGCAAATGATGATGATGATAGTGATGATAACTCAGAGAAGAGTTCCACTGGTAATTATTTATTTATATACTCTTTATTGCACACCAATATAGACAAAAATAATAAGAGAAAAACAAAGAAAGGAAAAATGTACAAATAGGCGGCCTTATCGCTAAAACAGCGATCTCTTCCAGGCAACCTTTAAATTATACTAGTTTTTGCGCGGGACTTCTTTCGTGGATTTAGGAATTTGTGATATATAGCTGCCCCGCGAACTGTTCTGTCCATAGATATCTAGATATTGGAATTTATTTTTGTTTTTCGTTCGAATAGAATTAAATATCCTATGTCCGTCTCCTGGTTCTAATGTATCTCTCCACCAATTTTTGACTATATCCGAACAGCCGTTTTTGAGTTATAAATGGTATAACTAAGACAACTTTCTTTTATATATATAAAGATATACTTCAAAGGATACTTAAGAATCTCGTTATTAACAAAATATGAATAAAATTCCTTTCATTTAGTACAAAATAGTTTTACTCTCAAGTGAATATTTTTTCAATCTATTTATTTTTCACAGGAGTGCCCGAAGAGGAATTAGATAAGATGTTAGATGAAAATCTGCCTGAAGATTTTAAGTCAGCTCCCAAACCAAAAGACAAAACTTACGTGACGAGAACAAAAATTGTGCTTGAAGGTTAGTTAGTACAGGTCATTTATAATGTTGTGTTCTTGGAGACTAGTTGGTAATTATATGGAACTAGAAGACTCGGCGAACTTCGTATCGCTCTATAATCAAGAAATATCTGATACGTTTTTTTAATCTATATTTTTGGAGTTCACCTTTAGGCCATAAATCTCCGTGTTCTGAAGTGCGATAGAATGATTGACATATTAGTTAGTTGTCAAATCTAATGTCAAAAAATCAACAACTACTAAAAATTTAAAAATTAATTGAAAAACCTTGTCCAGGACAAAATAGTGAATATAAACCATTCCCAGATCCCCTTGAACTCACACAAAAAATTTCATCAAAATCGGTCCAGACGTTTGAGAGAAATTCAGTGACATACACACTCACAGAAGAATTATATATAAAGATAAATGTCACGTTTTAGAGAAGGGTGTGAATCAGTTCGAGAATCTTCCATTGGATTGGATGATGATACGTCATCACAGCGGTATGCCGATATACATGCATCGTAGTACACGAGTTTGTACTCTATCTAAGCCATACTTCATCGGCAAAGGGAACACCAGGGTAAGATTCGCTATACCAAAGAAATAAATCAATTTTGATGAGATTCGTATTAATATTTCAACGTTTTCAGAGACACGACATACCTATCAGCGCTATACCATGCTTATTGTACCGTCGCGCGTTAGAAGAGGAAGAAAAACAGAAGCAGATAGACAAACAAATAGAAGAACAGATCAAAACTAAGATGTACACGCAGAATACAGGCGATAATAAAGATATTAAAACCGATGAAGATACGTCTTCTGAGAATACAAGTGATTTTCCACCGATTTTCAGCCAATCGGATATAAAATGGCGGACCGATATACAGTTCGATGAGAACGTAAATATACATCAGAACGATATAAAGCAAGATGTCTGTGATAGCAACGATGCTGGACCGGATTCAGTCGAACAGAAATATTCACTAATAAACGACTGTCAGAACAAAATTAGTGATAATATGGATGAAATCACCAACGTGGTGGACAAAGCTTTTAATGCGATCGAAAATAAATGTCCACTGGCCATGAATAGGAATGGTGATAACGATAAATATGACAGCCAAGTCGAATACGAAGTTACAGTTAAAATAGAAACCGAAACATCGGATAACGAGGATTCTATTAAGAAAGAGATAAATGATGACGATAATAATGATCTGGATTCAAATGATATCAAAGATGATGAGCAGAATCAAAATGGCGGTGACGTGGAGGGGATAGCTAATAGACAGCCGGTAGTTTTGCCAGGCGGAATAGTAATGCCCCCACCACGAGTTGAATCGGTTAACAGCAGTTGGAAAACGAAACTCTTGACCCCAGAACAGGTCACCGAATATTGCAAAAAGCTCTTCCACTTTAAGAGCCTTAATATAATGCATTTCAAGTGAGAATCGGAAATCATGTAATTCAAATTAATTATATATTAAAATTGTCGTTTCATACATATATGTACATAGCATGGAGCTTTATAAGTTGCATGGTTGATAAGTTAAATGATAACAAATGTATTTGCTGAATGTAGTTTTGTATTTCATCTTTACAGGCTTTTACTTGATATTGCTGTATATTTTATCAGCATAATTCTGTATCGTTCTTACATCTGAGTTTAGTTAACCTAATAAATAACAGAAATTGCTGTTATTTTCTTCTAGGCGTTTATATGTGTTATATATTGCTATGTTTATTTTCCAGGCGTTGGGCGGATCGTAGGAAGTACACGAAAGCCCGTAAGACGCTCCAGTATCCAACATTACCAGCGGGGACAACGCTTATAACTATACCGGCTCAGAATGGTAAAGAATATATTATTCATGATACGATGCCTATATTAATTATGGAGTTGGTACTCAATCCATTGGTATTCATTCATTCATTCATTCATTTAGCCGGTCCTCCGCCTTCTGCGTAGTCCCCTCAAACTAACTTCTTCAGGTCGTCAGTTCTGCCAGAAATTATCTTATCATTATCGCTTCGAGAATAGCATCATTTACTAATGAAAATCGTAGATGGGTTGTGTGTTAAATATCGAAAAATGATATACAACTCAAAATATACGAAAATGAATGTAGGTTAGTCTTAAAAAATACAATTTACACAAATGCCAGCAAAACTTACAATATTACTAAATAAATAACGATATAATTATATATATGTATATATATTTTGTTAATTTTACAATATTTTCCAGGTGGCAAGACAGCGAAACGCGACTGGGTGATGAATATGAACGGCCGGAGTTACCTGTCAGTGTTCCACGAATATGTTTGTAGAGCCTTGCAGAAACAGCCCGTGTACGAATACAAACAACTAGGTATAAAACAACACAAACGCATAAAGACATATAATTGTCATTAATATATCCTTTTTAATAAAATTTGTCACAGATAGGCAAAGTGATAAAGCCCGTATGGGCTTTATCACTTTATTGGCTGTATAGCCAATTCTTTTGTGCAAACCATAAACTTTATGTATCCTAGATGTCAGTGTTGTCTATGACACTCAAGAAAAACTTCTGTCCAAATATTCTTTTGTAATATGCTAATCAAAAGTTAATTTCCAAATTATATTTAATTAATATCCTCTACGTCATCATCATCAGCTTATCAGAGCCCACTGCTGAAAAGCCTCTTCTCACATGGAGAAGATTTGAGCATTAATCACCACGCTTGCTCAAGACGGGTTGGTGATTTCAAACTTATAATTGTGAAAAAAAGTTTTCCTTCATCTGTCAGTTTTGTCTAAATACTCTTATAAAGTACATATGACTATAAAATCACATTGGTACTTGCTAGGATCGAACCCGCGACCTCATACACGGGAGGCGGGTCGTTAACTAGGCTATCATCACTAGAAGGGTAATATCGTCTACATAATCAAATTATTCCTATAATATGTACAGAGAACGCAGCCACGCCGTATCAAGCGGCGGTTTATATCGGCGGTATGCAGTACGGCGTTGGCTACGGCTCGAGCAAGAGACAGGCGAAATATGCAGCGGCTCGAGCCTCCATACATATACTGATACCCGAGATGAAGAACCACTTGGAGCCGCCGGCCGCCCAGCCGCAGAATACGGAGACTGACTTCACGGTGAACATACACACACATATACGTATACACATACACACAAATACGCAAATACAGACGCAAATACAAACCTACATACAGATTACGTGACATTATGTGAACACATACAAACATACACAGCTATATACATACTACGAAAGACATACACATACATAGATATTGGCAGATCCTGTCAAAAGCTGGGAAATTGCCAGGAAAAAGAAGATCTTATAAGCATAGTTGAAATTTACGTAGCATTATTTGAACATAATATATATGTATGTAAATGAAAATTTTCAGTGTTAAGAACACAAGTACATGTTATTATTAGTTCATTGTCTTTAACACGAATTATCCGTAATAATAACAAAATTTTAAGCTGATCACACACTCTATTCTAGACATATATATAATTTCTTACAACGTGTGTAGCCGGCTTTAAATTTATTTATATATCCGTAGTTTTTCGACTACGTCGGCATTGAAGATCCTCGTATAGCCGAGTTCTGCGCAGCGACCTGCGAGCCTTCACCCCATGCGATACTAAGAACGTGTCTACTGAGGAATTTTGGTGCCGGAGATAGACACATACATACTGAGGTATTAATAATATATGTATATCGGACTTATTATAAAATTATTGTTTTTAAATAGAGAGACGCCAGCATTACTGACGTCACTTATGTCACTTCTTCTAGAACGTTCCATGATATTTTAAAATGAAAGTTCAATAGTTCTTAATGTTCGTATATTTCTCGAAAGTTCTTCATAATCACATACTTTAATGGTCCGCACTTACAACTCTGCAGACGTCATATTTATACCAAGATTCAAACATAGTTCTATTAATTTTAAACAGTCTTTGATTTCGTTTTACTTTTAACAATAAAATTAAGTTTTTATAATAATTGATGACTTGATTACTTACTGCTATATTATAAATAACGTAAAGTCAGGTGAATAACATGGTATATATGTTATAGATGAAGAAGTTAGAGTATCAGAAGACCGAGTTAACTATGACTGTGGGGAAACACACCGCTACCGTTGTATGTAAGAACAAGAAGACAGCTAAACAACGAGCCTCGCAGGCTATACTACAGGTAAACAAACATTATATTAAACTAGCTTTCCGCCCGCAGCTTCGCCTCCGCGGAGTTCGGTTATATCGCGTTTCTAAGGGAACCTTTGAAAAGTCTGGGATGAAAAATATCCTATGTTCTTTCTCAAGGTCAACTCTATGTCTGTACCAAATTTCATTAAAATCAGTTTAGTGGTTTAGGCGTGAAAGCGTAACAGACAGATAGACAGAGTTCTTTCGCATTTATAATATTAGTAGGGATTAGCAGGGATATACATATATAAAAAAGTCGTCTTAATTACACTATTTATAACTCAAGAACGGCTGTACGGATTATGATTAAAATTGGTGGAGAGATAGCTTAGAACAAGGGAAAGGAAGTAGGATGCTTTACATTCAAATGCAAAAGAAAAAATATAAGTTTATTATATCCAATATCTTTTTATCTAGTGTCTTTAAGGAATAGAGTGTGCCAGGTCAGCTATGCATTTCTAATACTGAAACTAACGCAGACGAAGTGGCGGGCAAAAACTAGTAAACATTTATATTTAACCATGAATTAATTATGTAGGATGCGTAATGCGTATATGTATATTACAATAAGAATTACATATTAAATCTTATATTACCTACACCCAAGACTACATGATTGACCCGATGTTAGTATAGCAATACCATTCCATAGCTTGTGTGGTATCAGGAATCTTCTGGTTCACACGGCTTGGTGTTATGGTATTTTAACCATGCAACATTGTTATTCATATATTTTAATTTTTCCTATACGTAATAAGTTAAAATATTATTATTCTCTTACAGGCTCTACATCCCCACGTCCGTTCGTGGGGTTCGTTGTTACGTCTCTACGGCTCGAGATCTGTGAAGAGCTGCAAGGAAAAGAAGCTGGAGGAACAGCAGATTACGCTGCTACAAGACAAAGCTAGGCAGAACGAGCCTAATTACGCTGTCCTAGATAAGCTTAGGCATGAAATGATGAAGCTCAAAGAAAGGGATGAGGCTGTCGTACCAATCGGAACACTCCTACTAACAGATGATCTGCCAACGCATTCCGGATCGAATCTGAATAATGTTGACTTGTGATTATCACTGTATGAGATCATATACAAGTATATGGTTCCATGACATATAGAATAATTAGTGTGTTTACTGTTTAGCACACTTCATATAAAGACTTTGATGTGTTTAGTGTAGCATGATAAGTGGTTCCAGTGTTGCCATCTGTACGGATCTGTTGTATTTTTTAATTCAGATCTAGTCATCATGGTGAATAGTGTTATTACAGTTGCTGGAAGTGAATGTGTGAGATTTACATGTTATATTTAATTGCTTTTTATTGTATTAGATTTGTGATTGTGAACGGCAACACTTTTAAGGGTTGTCACTCAATGATTTCTAGATATTAATCTGAAGATTTTATTATATACCCTAGTATTTTTGTTATATAGTATAATATGAACTGCTAGACATTTTAAATTAGTTAAATTGACATTCTGCCTGTTAGGTGCTGATTCTTTTTTGTAACTGTAGTGAAATATTACGGCCTATATTCATAGTTTGTTATAGCTTGATCGATGTAAAATTATTGATGTTTTTGACATAAAGGCGAGAACACACCATTGACTTGTTAAAAATAGTCCCAGTAATGTGTCTCAGCCTTTACATAAATGTTTTAAGTATACAAATGAAATGTTACACCAAAATTGACAGTATAAGAAATTTATATACATAATAATCTTGATATATATGACGAAATCTGTTTTGTATGTTGATAGAAGATTATTGTTATTTAAGACATTTTATTATAACAATGTATTCATGTAGACAAATCATATTAATGAAAAATATGGAATCCGTTTTATATAAAGTACATAAAAGCTTTTTCATATATGTAGGTGTATTGACCGCTTTGATGTTGCTTGTTGATTTGATTGTTAGCATAGAAGTAGTTTTGTAGGGAACCGTTTCATAAAATACCTCTTAAAGTAACGTTGCCTCTACAACTTTATAGTAGAATTATATTTAAAAAATCTTAATCATTCTTAACATGTATTGAATCAATGGATTGGTGTATTTTAATATGTTTAATATGTGTATCGATGATCTTTTAATAGTATTGTAGGTTGTTTAACCTTATTATAATCAGAATGCTTCAGAATTATGACTATATATTTGACGACGTAGACTTTTAATATGAATTCAATAGTTTTAAGTAATAATATCGGCTTCAGCGAATTATATTTTAGCGTATAGATATATTGAAATTTTAAATTTAATTTTACATATGAGCTGATATTTTTGAGGCTAAAGATGGCATTTACGTGAAGTTTTAACGTGTACAAACAATTCTAAAATGATATCGCGGTAAATAGAATATTTTAATAAAGCACTCAATATGTATATAATTTGGTTTTATTTACAATAAACTTGTACAAAATATCATTGGTTCCTGTTAATCTTAAACATTTTAATTTAAAATATAAGGTTTCACGAAAAAGTTTTGATATACAGGGTGACTGGTGAATTACTATCAATATTTAAGGAGCATACTGGGTACATGATTCTCATTCGAATTATGTAAAAAAAATAGGTACTTAATTTTTGACCAAATTTCCGTATAAATAAATAAAGTGTGTACACGTTCCAAGTGTTCCAAGTGTGGACGCGTGCGGCGGCGTGCTGATACAACACTACGCCGCCGCCGCGTCTGTGTGAGTGTGTGTGTATACCTAATCTGTAGGGTGTTCATACGATGCGTAATTAATTTCATAACTTTTGGTTAACTTTACTTAGAAGTTTATTAATATTTATGTTATATTAATTTTTATTTTGTCATATATGATCGTCAAATATCACGTCCTCAAATATCGATAGTAATTCACCAGTCACCCTGTATAGTTCATGCAGAGTAAAAATAACAGTACAGAAAGTGTTTTAAATAATAAATAAAAAAATGCCTTTTATTTTTTGTTTTTAATTAATCCCAAGAGAAAGACGATACTTGGAATTACTTAACAGAATGATTAATTTTAATGTTTTTTATAGAAAAGATAATTATTCTTTAAAGTTGAAATTATATTTAGAGTTTTCTTCTACACGATATAATAAACCTATTTTTATAGTTTTATAAAATCTTAAACGTTCAAAATCTACCACTAAATATAATATATTATCTATATGGTAACACTATCTATTAAAAATAGTATAAAAATTATCCATCTTAATTATAGATGCTTATACTATCGTGGGAAATTTTATTCCCATTTATAATTTAGTCGAGAAACAAAAAATATATATAATGCCACTTCTTAAATAACAAGATTTAAAAATAAACAATGGGTTCTATCATGTCTTCCTAGTAACTTTTTAAAAATATTTTAATTATTGAATAAAGCTATATTATGAATATTTTTTACTATTTATTTTTAACGCCATAGCCAGCCGGGGTGATGAGTTTCGCTCGCTGACAAAACATTGGAGACGCCGCCATCGGTGTTAGTGTACGAGACCTCATATAAAGTTAAAAACATATATTAATTATAAAATATATAATAAATTTAATAAAAATAATAAAATTTATTTATTTATTTAAGATCCACCAGTGATAATTACATTAATACAATATGTATTGGGTAAAAAGAAGTTTATAAATCATTTATTACATTATATTAAAAGTGTATTAACTTATTGGTAAAAAATATTAAAATCTTTATATATAAAAATTAGGTTACACTTTCATTATATTAAAAATGAGAGCATTACCTATATTTTGTTTATATAAAAATTAATTATTTAATTTATCGCTGAACAAAAAATTTTAACGAAATATTTTGAGTGTCCCTAAAAGGGTCCAAATTAATAAGGTTTGATGTGATTTTTTAATGTTTTTAATATACTCACAGGTGTAGTTCCAAGCCAGCGTTGTTTGATAAAGTCGGCCGCTTTCTCTGCTATCATGATGATAGGTGCGTTTGTGTTACCTGATGTAACTGACGGCATCACACTAGCGTCTACCACGCGGAGACGATCTAGACCTTGGACCTAATAAAAATAAAATATATTAAATACTTCATGCATCCGATATGTATGTTCATAATTAAACTGTGCATTTTTTAGTCTGTTTCATATTGGTTATCTGTAGTTAGTTAGCAAAATTTGAAGTTTGAATAATGTCAGTGTGAATGACGCCAGAATTAAAAAATATAATAAACTTAATTGTACCTTATGTTCTTGAGCATAAAGACATTAGAATTAGTTTAAGTTAAGATTTAATATTTTAACATCAAACTAAATTAACGTGACATTTATAGTTATCCATATAAGAAACTTAATACTCGGCTATCGTAAGATTAATTGTAATTAAAATTCTCCTCCCAATATATGTATTTATAAAAAAATGGAACATTAGTCATTTTCATTTTTTGTTAATATCTAAGAATAACTACGAACTCTTCGAAGAGACGAACATTAGTTGTATTATGTATATTTACCTAATTTGAATTCCCCATAACTTATTCTATTAAGTATTATGCTATACCTGTAACAAATTATCGACGACAGCCGTAGGGTCTCCTCTAGGTCCCATCTTACAAGAGCCCGCCTGATGATTTTCCGGAGCTGTTTGAGTCCTGACCGCACATTCCCAATACGCATCACAACCGAACTTAATTTTCTCGCAACCTTTAACTGGCGTTTTATCCAACCTCATTCCGTATTTCTTGAGCGCCTTCGTTTCTGAGAGTCTGATGGCAAACTTGATGCCCTCGACTAAGGTTTTTACATCGTCGGGATGTGTCAGATAGCTGGGAATTTGATTAAAGTTTTTATAATACTTGATTTTAAGGAGGTAAGAATAGTGAAAAAGATTTTTTTGATTGGTAAAGCTAATGTATGGGACATTTCTACAAAATATTTTAACAGTTACTTTGAAGGTATAAAACGAAGACAAGGATATAGTTTATCGAAATGTAAGAAGTGTAAGTTATATGGATTTCAATTGATATCAAAAATATGTCCATAATAGTGATATTATGAATGTTTTTAACAAAATTATCGATAGAACTATATGCTCAAGTTCTTTCACGTTACTCACTTAGCATAAATCTTGGGATACTCAAACGGATCTGAGCTAGCGATCTCCAATCTTCCTCTACTTTTCGGATGTAACACAGCCGGGAACATCTGAACACTTCTGAATCCTTCTCCGAGTTTCTCCCCGACCATGCCGGTCTTAGAACAGTCCGCGAGGAAACCGCCGAAAAAGAGTTGTATGTCAGGGTTGTCCTCGGAAGGATCGGAGTACTTTGTGTGGATGAAACCAGTTACTTCGGATATACCTAAAATACAAGTAGTATAGTTAGATATAAGATTTGTAAATATTCATTAAATTGAAGGTAATGTTTACGGATTACAACGCGTATTTTATTATTTTTAAAACTACATACTCTCGACGTTTCAGTTACTTTGCAGCATCTCGACTGCCAATGATCACGGTTGCTGGAAATTTACAGCAAGGTGAGGAGTATGTAGTTTTAAACATAACAAAATAACGCGAGTAATCGGACCATATTAGTGTCATTTAAGTAGTAGATTTATTTAATTATCAAAGATGACTCTCCTATAGTACAAATCTATTGCAATTCTAATTCTGATCTGAGGTTAAGATGTAACTTGACTTTCGCGGCCTGAATTTTTATGTAAAAATATTTTCTTTATACCTTACACTATAGTAAATTATTAGGAGATAAAGACGTTTGGTTATTTGTCTAATATAACTTTTGATATATTAGATATTGTTCACTGCACACAGTTTAGATAATTACTTTTTTCTCCTAACAGTTATTGTGCAAGAGAGTGTCTAAAAAATCTTAAAAATCGTCTGCTAAGACGACAATATGTTTAACATTGTATACATATCGTACATTATAAAACCAAACAAAGAGATATTTTAGTTATATTACAGAAATAATCTATTATATCATATATGATTAAAAACTGACCTGTCCCAGACATAAGTCCATCTCTGAACAGAAGATATTCCATAGCAGTTGCCCAGTTGAGTGGTACTGTGTTATTATCGTTCACGTGGAAATTAAGGAAGTGTGCCACGTGGTTGTGGAGATTTCTTCCCACAGCTGGTAATACGTGTAATGGCCTCACGCCCGCGCGGTTCAACACTTTAGGGTCACCTATACCGCTTAGCTGAAGAATTTGAGGCGATGCAACCGCGCCCGCACTGAAATATATTAAACTCGTAATTACTATTATTTGAATGATTATTAATTATGGGTAGTTGAAATTATCAGGTGTCACCCGATAACCACCTGCGTAGTTACGTGTGCAAATGTAGTAACAGCAATGAATATTGTGATTGGTATAAATAAAAGAAGAAAGAATAAAGATTACAAATAATCTTGCTCGAGCCGTTGTAGGGATCGGACCTCTTCGAAGTGAAATATTCGTCAAACTGTCTACGATTTTACCTTAAGAGTCTGACTTCTGACGTCATTCAAGAAGAAAGGCATAAGTGTTATCAGTTATGTTGACGTCACTCTCTTTAAAAACCACCTTTTGGACTTTTTTCCGACATATCGTATTTCACGTTATTTAACTCATTACTAACATCAGTAACATATTTGTTATATAATAAGCGGAATGTTAACGCTCCGATTATCAAATGAAAGTCACATCTAGTCATAGTCTTAATTGAGATTCCTTAGAAACGAATATCTCATTATTCAATGTATTCACGGTGCGTGTGTCGGGTCCATCGTTGTAGTGAGAGGAGCTTCAACAGTGACTGGGACTTGTGACACAGGTGTAGGTCTAAGGAGTCCCTATCTAACACGTTATACGCTCACCTCCACTGTCCAAACTCCTCTCTCTACCTAACCAAATTAAAGACGTAACGTGTCAAATATTTCAACGTACCTTAAGATAATTTCATGATTGGCGAAAATCACTTCCGTGCCGCCAAAACTGTTTCTCACTTCAACCGCATAGGCCTGTCGTGTTGTTTGGTTTATGAGGATCTTGGAAACAGTTGCATTTAACATGATGTGTAGATTAGGTCGGTTTTTGGCTGGACGGAGGAACGCTCGCGCTACACTTAATCGGGAACCATTTCTGTTTGTAGTTTGAGCTATTGAGAATCCAGTGTGTTTTTCACCGTTTAGATCTCTTATTTCAAAGCCTGAAATTAATATTATTATACATACACACATACATTATTTGCACTAAATATATGGCTTAAAAATTTCATACCTAGTTCTTCAGCAGCTTTAACAATGCTATGACTTAGTGGTGGATGGTAAGGAAATTGCGAGACGGTCAAAGGCCCACCCGTAGCGTGATACCCTTTATCCATTTCCTCAATTTGTTTATTATCTTCAGATTTGAGGAAATACGGCAGTACTTCATCGTATGACCACCCTTCATTGCCAGCAGCCGCCCAACTGTCGTAGTCTTTTCGCGAACCCCGAATGTACATCATACCGTTCATGACAGAAGTTCCTCCTAAAACCTATGATAAAAGCTATGAAAATATGATAGGAAGTTTCGGAAAATCCCTTGAAATTCCCATGATAAATAGAGAGAGAAACGTTTGTGTATATATTTAACTTACTTTTCCTCTAGGCCAATAACATTTTCTATCCTTCTCTCCAAGACAAGCCGCTGGTTCTGGCTCCGTGTGGTAGCCCCAGTCGATGCTAGAGCCGATGAAGTTTAAAAACATCGAAGGTACTTGTGCACCAGTGGGTTCGTCAAAACCTATAGATAGTTAATTTTGTTTAACCAAAAACATATTAACTCCAAAATACACAAAACTATCTATTGCTTATTCCAAAACTAATTGGAATTTATCGTCGAAATTATTTTATGGAAGCAAATCTTCTGAGACGTCTGATTGAAACTGTGCCTACGTATTATATAATATGAAGTTATTAATGTAAGCAAAAATCACTGTTCATATTGGCACTTAGAAACAAACCGATACTCGATATATTACATAGTAGATTAATATGTTTCTATCGCCAGTCGTCATCCAAATTTAGCACTGTAATCACGTCTCGGTAATTAAATTATAATATAATACATATATTTATACTAAATTGTCTTTTTATGACAACTACAACACAATCAGGCCAAAAAACTAATCCTCGCTCATAATTTTGAAGTCGTTTCTTCGTCATATTTGAATCGTAGTCTGTTTTGCTAACATCTATTAGGTCTGAAGATCTAAAGTATCTCACCAGCTTCTAAAAGAAGAACTCGCCATTCAGGTACTTCGGATAATCTCGCTGCCATTACGGAGCCAGCGGACCCTCCGCCCACTACGATGAAGTCGTACACTGAATCCATGTGACGACGAAACTAATAGAAAATACAACGTTATTAGCACTTGAACTTCATATACTATTACTATATGTTATTAGGCATCTGTATTCTTGGTCCTTGGAACGAGTTTAAGATATTAGCCGGAGTAAATATATACATACATGTTGTCATGAGGTCTAAGACTTTCGTCAGTATTCGTTGAATTAAAACTAATATCTTTTGGATTTCTTTACTAAAAACTAACTAAATAATTATAAAAGCGTAGTAAATACGAAATATATTAGTTTAATTTCAATTTTATATACATATAGATATACGGATAAAATTGTAAGTATCCATATGAATTTATTAAAGAGTGGTTAGTTTACAGTCAATATTTTTTTATAGATACATCGTGTGATGTTACATACGTGTTTCAATTTCAACGATAACATGAACCACAAAATTAATTTATTGATTTTCTTATAATAATAGATAGTCTTTCTATCACTCGAATACATAAAAGTGATATCGAATAATACATTTTAATATCTATGTTGTAAGAACTTAATCAAGAGCAAACGACGAGGAAGCATCAAGCAAGCAATAACTATCAAACGTACGAGTTATTATTATATCATACAGAAATACTATAAAATACATTTATTATTAACATTGTATATGAGAACAAGAAATTATTTAACAGATACGTTTCGTGTCACTCGTGAAAGTCGAGGCTTATCTTTCTTCCCGACAATTCTTCCTGACAATTGTTGCTCCCTAACTAGAACACGAATCTAAAATGATTATATTAAAACGTAACTATTTCACACAGTTATTAAGATTTTACGAACTAAATAACAAATCGGTCTACACGATCTTTCTTTTTTACTAAAATATGCTTTTTCGATAACCCATAATATAATTTGCGTAGTATGTATAAAAGTTTAGTTAGTAAAACACCCACGTCAACAAACACGCAATAATAATTACAGCTTTTGTTTGAATAAAATGTGTATATCCCTTTCAAGAATATATTTCTTAGGCTATAGATTATTTTGAAGTCTTAGGAAATGACATAAAGTAGACAATTTCTCAGCTGGCGGCGTAATCGTGCTGTAAAGACGTTATCGTATAATACTAAAGTAATTTTGGGCTATTTACGAACTTATTATTTGTTGCAATATTAAATTGTGAAGTAAAATTGAGAAGACCGATAATGGGTATAGAGAAAAGGTCGCACTAGTGGGAATATAGACAAAGTACATATGAAAACATGAAAAAATATAACACAAAAAGTTTTGTTAGTTTTGAAGAATAAATACAAATAAAAATATATGTCTTATCTTAATGCAACATTGTAAAAGACTGCTATTTACTCGTACATATAACGAAGGTTAAAACTAGGTAAAAACATGTATTAAGTACGAAAATAACTAGCGCAGTATCAGTAATTTTCTAGTATGACTCTGCGGTTTTTGAGTTATTACTGAACAGATCACTACATTGACTTGTATGTGACCGCGAAATATGATTTGCGGTTGATGTTTGATACGAGAATTATTACGATATATTATTTGAATTAAAGTTTTATAGTACTCATATTTTAATTCAAACCTTTTCGATTTTAGAGGTAAGCTATAACTATTGTGTTTATTTATATATGTTTCTCATACTCTAAACTAAATACAACTGTATTCCTTCGCATATTCGTCACACTTAAGGGCTTATAATTTCAGCGCTTTTTAAGTAAATCTCAAGTAAGTTACCATACGTAAAAGTGCTTTACTTTTGTACCGTTCTCAATATTACTTACCTGTGCTCGTCCACAAGGGTCTTCGAGGTCACATTGGCTGCGCAAGAATACTTCTAGTAGACCCATGAACAACATGAAAGCACCGCCTCCACACGCCGCCGCTAACGTAGGGCCCGGGGGCGACATGGGACAATTGCACGATAGCGCCATCTGAGTTATTTCTATAAAATATAGAGATTTTTTATAACATTATGGCATTCCTAAATACTATATTAACGACGAAATAATTTTAATTAATACACTTGAAAAAAATTAAAATATATGTACAGAGTTATGAGAGTAAACACGAAAATAATTAAGTTTATATCATTTAACATACTTTTATAGATTTTAAATGATTAGACGTACAGAAATTAATACAAATGTAAGTATATAAGTATGAAGAAATTCTCTCAAGTATCTATAGTAATGTTTTTATTCGAAGGGCTATATTATGAGCTGCTAAAAGTAATTATGATTGTGACACGCCTCCGTATTACTGTTTAATGTGCGTCCGTTCGTGTCAGCGGCGGCCTCGAGGGCGACCTTTGACCCATCGACGATTTAGCAAACAGTATGGACGTTGTAATATAATTGGATACTAGATGAGATCTGGAGAATGTGCTAATGTTCTGTAGTGGAATTGATTCGGAATTGTATTATGAAGAGTATAGATAGATATCGGATAGATAAAAAGTAATGTTAGCATGAGGTAATCTATGGTATGGCATTTTATATCCGTGGTGTTAGAAAAGTTCTAATTAACTTTTTTAATTTTCGTCTTTATAACATATACATATGTTATAAAGACATATGTTATAAAGGTTACTAGCTGACCCGGCAAACGTTGTTTTGTGATATAAAAAATAGGGGTTGGTGATCAAAAGTAAAAATTTTAGGTTGCATGTATTTGTAATGCTACATTATAAAAAAAACAATCAATTTCGTCCGTAAAATATAAAAAAAAATTAAGGGTGAACAACTCAATATGCTCACCAAATTTTATGAGAATCGGTCAAGCTGTTTCGGAGGAGTACGGGAAGGAATATTGTGACACAAGTTATACATATTAGGTATATATACATATATGTATATATAGTTTGTTTCTCACAACATTGACAATAATCGAGTCATTACTTAACAGATTGAGCGATAATGCTGATGTTAATCTGTCTGTTACAGCGAGGTTACGGAGATAGGATTGTACGGTCGAATGAACATCGGGGCTTGAAGAATGAAGACAGGTACCGGGGCTTAGAGTGGCAGTTAATCGGAACTATTGTGGGTTAATCCATTTAAATGTTATGAAAGTTTTTGTGGATCAACGCAAATATTATCATTGTTTTTTTAGAATGTCCAATAAAGCCGATTTTATAAATAATACGTAATAATTGAGGGGAAGTTGAATAAGGTATTACGAGTAACTGGACTAAAGTAACAGCTTATTATTGTTTATTTTTTAAATTAACGCAAATTATGATAACATTTTAGCATAAAATGAACAAATTGTCGAGCTTGCGCGAAAAAAATGAAGTAACTTTTCCGACTTGAATTTTCATTTATGAAGATTAAACGAAAATAAAGATTATGTATTTGTAACGAATTTTTAATTTCTTATAAATTTTATATTCGCTATTCGATTTTTCATTGCTTTTATTCGTCTTAGCGTATTCGCCGTATTTGTCCAAATATTTGTATGTAGTCCAAATAGCGCAAACACGACATCCACACTTGGCATACCAACAACCGTCTTTACGCGTTTTTATTTATGTATGTCTTATTTGTGCAAATATGTCAAATGAAGACGAATAAATCGTCCACACATGGTCTTATTTTGCCGAACACAACAAATAAACGCCAAGTGAAGTTCTGCCTTTATAATAGAGATTAGTTCTGCTAGTTTATGGTAGACTAGAAGACCCGGCGAACTTCATATCGCTCTATAATCAAGAAATATCTGTTAGAATGATTGACATATTAGTTAGTTGTCAAATCTAATGTCAAAATACCGTTTGTATGGGAAATAAAAAGGGCTGTTTTTAGGGTTTTCCCACTAATGAATCAATTTTTTTTCAGCTTTTATACCTTCCCTGAACCTCCACGAACATTTCAAGACTATGATAAGATAAATCGGTTCAGTCGTTCTCGAGTTTTAGCGAGACTAAGGAACAGCAATCAATTTTTATACATATATATAGAAGATTACGAAATTCTATTAGGTCAATGATTGCATATTTTTTTTGTAATACAAACTGACATTCTAACCGGTGGTTGTAACTGGTTCTGGCAGCTATCAAATTTGTTTAAACGAGATCTAAGTATCATATGTCACTTGTGATGTATGTCGCAATGAAATAAGACATATATATTAATTACCATTAATATATGTTAGAAAGTATATCTTTTGTAATTCTTTTTAAAGTAAAAATTTAATTATATATGTTTAACAAAGATATGGAAATCCCTACTAATATTATAAATGCGAAAGTAACTCTGTCTGTCTGTTACGCTTTCACGACTAAACCACTAAACTGATTTTAATAAATTAAGTTACAGAGATGGAATTGACCTTGAGAAAGAACACAGGATAGTTTTTATCTCAGACTTTTGAAAGGTTCTCTTGGAAACGCTACATAATCGAACTCCACGCGGGCGAAGCTGCGGACGGAAAGCTATTTTTATATATTGTCAATTATAAGTCTTAATTCTTTTAAGTAAATGACCATAATATATGAGATTAATTTCATCAAATCGTTACGTGTTCGTTTGTGTATTACATTAACACATAAACATAACACGCTAGAGACTCCAATAATATATTTTTCATACAAATAAATCGATGTCTTATTTCGTAACGTTGTACTAAAATTTAATTGCTATTATTTTTATACAGGCGATAATTTTTTATTCTCTTCTTTGTGGGTAATAAGGAAATGTTTTTAAAATATTTATGTTTGACTCTTGATAAGTATATCAGGTTTAAAAAGTATATTTTAAATTTAATAATTAAGTATTAAGTCATAATTAAAATATATAATTTATTTTCAATGTTTTTCATAGAATTAAAGTTATTTAGTTAAAACTATGGCAAGTAAGCTTCAAACGATAAACCGTAAATGGAAATTTCACTTATCAGCTTTAATTATTTTAGTAAATTAATTGTATATTTATAAATATTATGTACATTAATACTGTATCTCAAATAATTTATATAATTATATATTATAACGGTAATTATATAAAAGATTTTCACTATAATTATCGTCGTACGTGCAAGTATATATACCTTAAATCTTGATGAATATCCCATTCAGTCAAAAAATACTCAAAATATATTAAAATTATGATAGTCAAGTGGAGAAGACGAGAGAAGGAATTGTAATATATTGAAACCTCAAATATTAATACAAAGAGTAAGTATGTACAAGTGAAACGAAAATATTTTCAGTATTTTAAGGGTAATGATTGGAAAGAAAAATATGTAAGTCTTGTTTATAGTTTTTTGAAATCTTAGTTTTTATAGTTTTGTCTGTTTCTGTGTTTCTTTTGAGATATAATTTTCGTGTTTTCAAGAAAAGTGTGAATAGGGAAATCCCTACTAATATTATAACTGCGAAAGTAACTCTGTCTGTCTGTCTGTTACGCTTTCACGCCTAAACCACTGAACTGATTTTAATAAAATTTGGTACAGAGATAGAGTTGACCTTAAGAAAGAACATAGGATAGTTTTTATCCCAGAATTTTGAAAGGTTCTCTTGGAAACGCGATATAACCGAACTCCGCGCGGGCGAAGCTGCATGCGGAAAGCTAGTACGATATAATGCGTTCATTACTTTGGACTTAATTTCCACCTTCTAACGGCTGAGGCAGTCAAGCATTATTCAGTTGAAATAAATGTTTGTTTTGTTTAAATTACATTCTAAACTATATATATTATTTATTTTATTTGCTCTTTTCTTGTACATTATTCGTGTCCAAATTGAGTCGTGATCCGTGAGTGAAACTTCAAACCTGACGATAAACAAATCTGGTTTATTTGTTGACCTTTAACTCCCAAATGTAGTGCACTCACAACACAGAGACTTACCATTAAATATATTACGATAAAACTTAATAAATATATTGCACATTTCTTTTATATATTGAGTTTTGTTTTGTTTCATCATTATTAGTCTGTGTTAGTTAAAATACATCGCTTACTATATTAGAGTATGGTTATTTAATATTTTGGAAGACACTGGCGTTTGGAAAGACAAATATTATGGAAAAAAATAGTATTTTATCCTTAATAATTTGATGAACTATAGGATTTTGTTGTAGTTTAAATTGATTTGTATTTCTTATAGAGTATAATCAATTAATTAGACAGGAAACATTGCATGTCAACCTTGTGTTGTGGTGACCTAAAATGTATCACATACGAGCTGGTTGTGCAACCTCTGATAGGTTACACAACCACTGGTTATCTAGAATTTAAGGGTGAATTATATAAAACTAAGGTGTGATGTGGAGTGGTTATATCATACACCATCTTATGTGACTGTTTCTCATTCATTTAGTGAGTGCAATAAGTAAAAATATCACTTACAAAGAATGTACTAAGATTTGTTAATGAGATCGAAATTTTTAATCAAAGATATTAAAACATAATAAAATTTGATTTATCAGTTTTTAAAACAAAAATCGTCAAATAAAGTAAGCATTGCTATTACGGGTGTTAGAAATATAGAAATATATTAGCCTCGAAAAAATTTCATTATCAAACAGATCATGAAAGCCTTTCATAAAATTTAAATGAATTGCACTTATTATTTCATTAAAATAATTTAAATAATGTGGTTAGGTAGAGAGAGGAGCTTGGACAGTGGAGGTGTGCGTTTAATTCGCGTTAGATAAGGGTCCCTTAAACCTACACCTGGGTCGCAAGTCCCAGTCACTGTTGAAGCTCCTCTCACTACAACGATGGACCCGACACACGCACCGTGAATACATTGAATGATGAGAAGTTTCATCTCTTTTAACTAGAATTTTATTATTCGTTGCTATTTAAATAAAGATAAAATTAACATAACAATAAAGGCTTGTGAAGTCTATTCAACCATCATAAATCGTACAGAGCATAAACACGAGCTTTCATACTTCCACAGATTATATATAATTACACAAAGAAG